ATTGTAATTCGGCTAAGTCCATTGTTAAATAGGACATTCTGTTTGTAAGAGGCACTGATGAAGTGTCTGATATTTCTGCAATATTAATATAAGTGTTTGAATTCAGTCCATCTTTTACCATTTCGTTCAATTTCCTGTTTAGAACTTTGTGGGTACCATCAAATTGTAATTAATTAGAATTAATTGTGATTAGGTTTAGTGAGTCATAGCTGAGTCATTCTTATGATTGTGATTAGGTTTGGTGAGTCATAACTGAGTCATGCTTAGCTATTTTTTCTTGTATAAATACTCCTCATTCCTCATGTAATTATTTCAATATCGATATACTGAAAACCTTTTTCAATATGGTATCAGAGCAGGTTGGTCCTGAGAAAACTCAGCCACCACAACCACCTTCAAACCGGCGGCACAACGCCGGAAAACTCAACCTCCAACCATTATTAAGGTTATTTTCCCTTCCTACAAAGTCCCAAGAGCAAAGTAAGGCTACCAATCACTGTAGAAGGCAAAATCCCAACTTTCCACCGCCGTCAGCCACCGTCAGCAGCCGTCGGAAAATTTTTCCCGCGACATTTCCGACCAAGATCCGCACCATTCGAAACAGAAGGAGCCGATCTACAAGTTTCAAGAAGGACCATCGGATTCTGCTGAGCCACGCGCCCCCACGCGCTAGAGCAAGGACGGAGCGTTCGCCCTACGCGTTACCACACGCAGCCATGTTGATTGAAAGTAAATTTCCATCCAGCAATGTTGCTCAACAAGGTATAGCGTTCCATGCTGATAATAGTAGTCGATGGATTCTTGATTTAGGGGCTTCAGATCATATGACAGGTAATGCAACCTTATTTTGTTCTTATACCCCTTACTATCAACAATCACGAATAAGAACAACAGATGGCAGCTTCTCTACTATTGCTGGAAAAGGATCCATTAAACTTTCTGAACACATTACTTTGAACTCAGTCCTTCATGTTCCCTCTCTTACTTGTAACCTTATCTCTATCAGCAAACTTACGTCTGAGTTAAATTGTGTTGCCAAGTTTTCTGTCAATGCTTGTGTTTTCCAGGAACAGGACTCGGGGCTGATGATTGGCAGTGCTAGAGAGGAAGAAGGGCTTTATTATTTAGAAAAAGATTCTTGTGAAGGAAAAAATTTTGTGAACCACTCGGTATGTTTGTCTGATGATTGTAATGATGTTTTGTTGTGGCATCATCGGTTAGGACACCCAAATTTCATTTATCTTCAGAAGTTTCCCAAGCTTATTTATCAATAAAAATCCCAGTTCTTTTTCTTGTGATATTTGTCAGCTTGCAAAACATTCTCGTGTTTCTTATCCTCCTAGAGTCCATCATGATTCTTCTCCATTTACCTTGATTCATAGAGATATATGGGGTCCAGCCCGTGAAAAAATATCTTTGGTGCTCGTTGGTTTATAACTTTCATAGATGATCACTCTAGGGTATGTTGGGTATACCTTCTAAAGGATAAGTCTGACGCTGCATCTATTTTTAAAAACTTTCATGCTATGGTTCAAACTCAGTTCCAGACCTCTATCCAAATTCTTCGAATTGACAATGGTATTGAATATTTTAATTCTGTTCTTGGAAACTATCTCAACCAGCATGGTATTCTTCATCAAAGTTCTTGTCCTAACACCCCTCAACAAAATGGGGTGGCTGAAAGAAAAAATAGACATCTCCTTGAAGTTGCTCGAGCTCTTATGTTTACCATGCATGTCCCTAAATATTTGTGGGGGGAAGCTGTCTTGACTGCAGCATACCTCATCAATCGGATGCCTTCTCGTGTCCTAAATTTTCAATCTCCTTTATCTTGTCTTACCCACACATTTCCTTCTTTCCGGGCTCATTCTTCCCTTCCTCACAAGTTGTTTGGCTGTGTGGCTTTTGTACATGTTCCTCCCCATCAAAGGTCCAAGCTCGATCCTAAGTCCATTAAATGTGTCTTCATAGGATATCCTCCTAACCAAAAAGGCTACAAGTGTTACTCATCTTCACTTCGTAAGGTCTTTGTTTCTATGGATGTCACATTTGATGAGAGACAATCTTTTTTTCCTTCGACTTCTCTTCAGGGGGAGTCTATTGGGGTTGATGAAGATAAGTCTTGGAAACCAAATGATTCTGTTGTTTTGCCTTTGCCGTTGGAGACAGGGGGAGTCATTATGCAAAAGACAGGGGGAGTTAATGTGTCAGATAATGGAGATCCTCCCGGGAAATGGGGAAAGTTTTACAGCAGGCGAGAATCACCTCAGGAGCCTCTAGACTGCCAGGATTCTGACTCGAGTCTTAGTTCCAGCAACACTGATACAGCCAACCTAGATGTGCCTATTGCTCTCCGAAAAGGTACTAGATCTTGTACTGCTCATCTTATTTCTCATCATATCACATATGAAAAGTTGTCCCCAGGTTTTCATGCTTTCAACACTATGTTAGACAGTACAAAAATACAAAAAAATATCCAAGAAGCACTTGATGATCCAAAATGGAGGAATGCAGTCTTTGAAGAAATGGATGCACTCAACAAAAATGGAACTTGGGAGTCTGTAGCATTACCCAGAGGAAAGAAAACAGTAGGTTGCAAGTGGGTGTTCACAATAAAGTTTAATGCAGATAATAGCATCAACAAGTATAAGGCCAGACTGGTTGCTAAGGGATTCACTCAAACTCATGGGATAGACTATCAAGAGACATTTGCCCCTGTTGCCAAGCTTAATACTATCCGAGTTCTTTTATCACTTGCTGCAAATCTTGGTTGGCCCTTGCAACAATTAGCTGTAAAGAATGCTTTCTTGAATGGTGATCTACATGAAGAAGTTTATATGGATCCACCACCTGGTTTTGAAAAAGGAGACGATTCAGTATGCAAGTTGAAAAAGTCTCTCTATGGTCTTAAACAATCTCCTAGAGAGTGGTTTGAGAAGTTTACTCAAGCTGTTAAGGGAAGAGGATTCCTCCAAGCTCAGACTGATCACACTTTATTTTTAAAACACTCTAATGGTGATAAAATTGCTATTCTCATTGTTTATGTTGATGACATAATTGTCACAGGTAATGATTGTGAGGAGATAAGCTCTTTGAAGAAATGTTTAGCTAATCAGTTTGAACTGAAAGATCTTGGATCTCTCAAATATTTCCTAGGCATGGAAGTTGCTCGAAGTAAGGCAGGAATTTCTTTAACTCAGAAGAAATATATTCTAGACCTGTTACAAGAAACAGGAATGCTTGGGTGCAAGCCAGCAGAGACTCCAGTTGAACCCAATATTAAATTGGGAATCGAAGATGGGAAAGAAGTTGATAAAGAGCAGTATCAGAGATTGGTGGGGAAGTTGATCTACTTATCTCACACTCGGCCTGATATTGCATTTGCAGTTAGCATGGTTAGTCAATTCATGCATTCTCCTAAGGAAAAACACCTGAGTGCGGTTTATAGAATTCTGAAGTACCTCAAAAACACCCCTGGTCGAGGATTGTTCTTTAAAAGGGGACACAAGAGGATGATTGAAATATATACAGATGCAGATTGGGCTGGCTCTGCATTGGACCGAAGATCCACTTAAGGATATTGCACCTATATTTGGGGAAATCTTGTGACCTGGAGAAGTAAGAAACAAACAGTTGTTGCCCGGAGCAGTGCAGAAGCAGAATTTCGGGCTCTAGCCCATGGTATTTGTGAAGGAATTTGGTTAAGAAGACTCCTTGAGGAATTGAAGATCTCTTTTTCCCCACCTGTCAGAGTGTATTGTGATAATAAGGCTGCTGTCAGTATTGCTCAAAATCCAGTTCACCATGACAAAACAAAACATGTGGAGGTTGATCGCCACTTTATCAAAGAAAAAATAGATGATGGAAGTGTATGTATGGTGTATATTCCTACCAAAGAGCAGATTGCAGATATTCTCACTAAGGGCCTACACCGGCCAGCCTTTGAAGACTTGATTGGCAAGTTGGGAATGATCAACATTTACCTCCCAACTTGAGGGGGAGTGTAGAAAATCAGAATTCAAATTCAAATATTTTTCCGTTTTTATTTATTAGGAATAATTAAGATTAATTAGGATTGATTGTTTTTTATTTCCTATTAGTTAGGATTAATTGTAATTAATTAGAATTAATTGTGATTAGGTTTAGTGAGTCATAGCTGAGTCATTCTTATGACTGTGATTAGGTTTGGTGAGTCATAGCTGAGTCATGCTTAGCTATTTTTTCTTGTATAAATACTCCTCATTCCTCATGTAATTATTTCAATATCGATATACTGAAAACCTTTTTCAATATGATGTTTACTTTTATATTTTTTATTTTTTTGGATAAACCATAGGTAACCTCCACGGGAGGCAATCCTGTCCGGACGAGTCCAGGATTAAGGCTTTAAACCCCTTCTAAAGATGATACTTTTATAACTTCATTAGAAAACGGGGGTGGTGAGATTCGAACTCGTGCCCACTTAGTTATGAGCTCTGAAACCTTGTAAAATGTCAATTCAACCCAGAAGCTTAAGCTCATAAGTGAAAACTGTATTAATTTATTCAATTATGAATTTTTGAGATTTTAAGGTAAGAATCATGAAGCAATTTTTCAGTGGAAGTAAAAGGAGTTCAATCTATAGAAATGTGAATGTTTTCCTTTGTAACTCTAAGTATGTACTACAACAGAATACTAATATCTCATAGCCAAATTGATTTGTGGTTTATCCTGATCAGCCCCCAGTTGAAAGTGATGCTCCCAACCTGAACTTTGACCAAAGCAAAACAAAATCCTAAGTCTCAGTGTGAATTGTCCTTTACATTATCTCCTTACCCATTATTCAGTTACTGTTCATCTATCTTTTTGTAAAATTAAGAAAGAAACATCTTCATTTCCGCATTTCCATTTCTCCAAAGTTTTGGAGAATCCATAATGCAAAAGAAGATAAAAAGAACATGGCATGTAAAACATTTCTATATGAAACTTCTCTAAAACTATGGACAAGATATAGAACTCACCTGGTAATATATAAAAGCTGCATAAAAGAAGATCAGAAGTGGCATTATGGCCCACAGGGATATTGTGCTCACAGTGCCTATAAGAACAAATGTTGAAAGTAGTTGCCATACTTGTCCCAAAAACATATTTGCCAAATTAAAAACAGTGGTATCTATATCTCCCATGTCTTTCGCAAACCGATTAATTATGCGGCCAACAGGATTAGTTTGGAAGAAAACCATTGGAGCACGAAGGATTTTATCTAACATTGCATCATGCAATCTTTTGGCAGCACGAAGACTTGAAGTGATCAACCAATAAGAATTTACAAGTGCCACAGATACCTGAATGTAGCAAAGGAAAATATTCATTTCATTTGTCCTATAATTGAAGAAAACACAGAAAGGTACTCTTTGGTAAGTTCGATAGCTTATTGAAGGATGATTATTTTCTTGAATAATGCTAATTCCTTGCAAGTAAAGTGGAAGATGCTGAATACTAAGTAGAAAGTTAATAATGGAGTTTGGAATCATGTGAGAACTTGGAGATATGAATGTTAAATAGAAACTCATTGCAGAATAATGACCTGTCCAAATGAGAAAAGTGCATAGATGAAAAGAAAATATCCTGAGTCATAATCTGAAGTGGAATCTTTAGAAGTCCACACACTTAACCATGTGCTACTTGAAATTCGAAGAACTTCTGTTAATGTATAGCATGCAAAGAGGAGGGAAACAACCCACAGTCCTCCCAGTGCAGATTTGTACCTGTAAATTTGGATTTACAATTACAACAAGTCATAACCAAACTAGAACATCTATATTAAGTCCAAGCAGAAAAAAGTGCAATGCAGTGGTCACAAAAGGAAAAGAAAAATAACTGTATACAAACATCACAGAAGCATCCTTAAGTAAATTAAACTACACAGTACCTAGCTGCTATTATTGTTGTAAATATGGAAGATTTGTTATTATTTGTTTCTTTTATTAGTCAGATTATTTAATTATTTATTTCTTTTAGTAGCCAGATTACGTTTCCTTATTTCTTAGGATTTGGATTTATTCCTTTAAACCCATTTGTTTCTGTATAAATATTGTAACCCTTTGTACCCATTTTAACAAAAAATAGCAATGATATTTAAAGTTTCTTTTTTAGTCAGTTATTTTATTTATTTATTTGGATAAAAGAAAAATGTATAAGAGAGGAAATGGTACAAAACAAGAGGATCAGGAATCCTCTGTAGGCTGCAAAGAAAAGAGCCAGGACATGAAAGAAAAGAGAAAAATCAACATTTTGTCATTCTAATGGAGGGAATACTTGTGTTCCCAATCATATCCAATTGGCAATCAAATTCACTTTATTCATACATTCTTAATAACAATAGAGGAAAAATAATTCCTGTAATAACCATATCTTAGGTTCCATGGCAATCTTACCTCGTTATAACTTTCCAGCTAACCGCACCTGTCTCCCGCTCTTCTTGCTTAACAAGAACTGATTTTCTTAATTTTCCCTTCTTTTCATAGCTTGTATCATTTGGTAACACTACATTTGCCTCATTATTTGAGGGTGAAACGTTAGCCTTGTCATGACTATCACTATCTTCATTATTAACAGCTTGTTGTTCCATTTTTCCTGCATTTTCCATTAGTTTCTGAAATAGAATCCCATTTTCTGATAACTCCTCAAAGGTTCCTTGCTCTTTAATCATGCCATCACTAACCAGAATAATTTTATCCACCTGAGGGAGAAAATGTAGCTGGTTGGTCACAAGAACCCTGGTTTTTCCTCTCAACCCTTCCTTTATACAGTTCCTGAAAACCTGAATGCCATTGCTAATCAGACTATATGTACTATGATCATAGCTATTTTCAAATTTTTATATGGTAAACAATTAATGGTGATATCTGAAAGGAGAAAGGAGAAAGGAGAAAGGAAAATCTGATGAAGCACATGAGCATGCATACCTTTAATCAATTTCTCAATAATAAGAATCAGTTTGATATGATTCTTTCTCATCATATTGACAATTTAAATCAATGAAACTTATTAAGGATGGAAGCAACCTGAACTGAAGTACATCATTCTATAGATGGCAGTTATATCATAACATTTTTTAGAGCTGAATAAGAATGATACCTCTTGAGCAACATGAGCATCAAGAGCACTTAAAGGATCATCAAATATGTACACATCAGAATCTGAGTATACGGCCCTAGCTAAGGAAACTCTTTGCTTTTGTCCACCACTAATATTGACTCCTCTTTCGCCAATCTCTGTAAAATCACGTCCCTGAAAGGGTATGAATGAAATAAATTATAAAAAGCTTTCATATTAGTTTAGAGAAGCAATAATGAAGATTAAATTTTATGAAAAATCTTACAGGTAGTAAGTTGAGATCATGCTCCAAAGCAGTGACATCAATGGCCTTCCAATATCGTTCATATTCGAATTTTGATCCAAATAATACATTTTCACGAACCTGAGAAAAGAAGTGATTCAGAATGGTAAATGGTAGCATTTGTTCACCTTAAATTTAATATGAATGAAACATAAGTTTTAAAATAGAAGCATAAACAAGATGCAACTCACAGTAGCATTGTAAATCCATGAAATCTGAGGAACATAAGCAACAGTGCCTCTGATTGTAGCATTTCCATCAGCTAGGGGATGTAGCTCTCCAATCATTGCTGAAATAAGTGATGTCTTCCCTTCTCCAGTACCACCAATGATTGCTACTAAGCTGCCGATTTGTATTTCCACATTGATATTTGATAATGTTGGCTTCTCTGCCTGTGTATTGAATAGATTTTTCATACATAAAGTGAAGTGTGCATTACTAATATCACAAACTATAAATAAAATGGACCAGAACAAACAAATCACTGAATTTTTATGCCTCAATTTAAGAATATTGCCTAACATTAGCATCACATTCATTAGCATCACATTCACCAAAAGCAACAGTATGGTCTCCTAAGACCTACAAGGAGTTTTAATAATATCATTATTCCTTTTGACCTAGATCCTGGCTTATATTGCAAGTCTCGGGGAGGGTGAAAGTAAAAGAGAAGACTAATCAAAGTTTCATGTAAAATATTCCCACATAGTTCTATTTAGTATTTTTATAAAATTAGTTTGTTTTAACTTGGAAACTGCTAATTGATCAGCATTCCGGAACCTTATGTTGATTATTATTCTGCATAACATAGTAAAATGCTACCTTAGAAATTAAAATGTTGGCTATTATAATTTTTCTATAGTGTTGCTGTTAGTTGAAAAATAATCAAGGCAACTTTACCAAAATAGTGGCAGTGCACACAAGTATTATTGAAAAAATGACCTTAGGATCCCATGAAAAGTTTCCATTCTTAATTGAGATGGCTGGAAGTCCAGGTACAATAGGTGGATTTTGTTTTAAATTTCGCTCCTCAGACGAAAACAGTTCTTCTAATCGTTGCAACGAGACATTTGCATTTGCTACCTGTAAAAAAAAAACTAGTCAGGAATGATTTAATATCTCCAACAAAAGCAATCTCATATTTTGACCTCAAATCAATAAGTAAATGCTTATCACAATTTGAAGCGGTTAAAAATCAATATTGTGGAGGTCAATGATAACCTGACTAAGTAAATTTGGAAGCATATTTAATGGAAAGCGCAAAACTGCAAACAGAGATAGTGAGGTAAATGCCCTTGCAGGTGTCAATTCTCCACCAAGTAAAGTAAACATTCCAAATGAGGTCACTGTCACAAGAACTGGGATGCTGTTTAGTATAAAAGTGTTAAGCTGCAAAAGAAGACAAGTAGTTAGGAACATAACTACAAATTTTCACAATCTAGGATAATTTCACATGTCATACAAGTTGCTAAGAAATTGTTTAGTTATGTGGCACATGCATATATAGAAATAAGTAATTGTATGCTGATAGAGGAACATATTTCCAAGTAATAAAAACTGATATTAAGTTCCCTATAAATTGATGTTTAAACCATTTATACAAGTGTCTTGGGTCCAGGGAGAATGTGACATTAAATACAAATACTTCATCTATCAAAAGAATTTGTCACGCTTGTTAACAAGCTATGATTTTTGTGTGAGATCACAAGATATTGAAAGCCTGGAATCACATGAATCATTACAGAGTATCCTTGGAATTAACCCCAAAGGTAGGCATTAATAGCATGCATTGCCACATATATCAAGCTAAAGAAACACTGCCATATATATGCCTTCACATTAAGCCTTGACATAGCTCAAAGACCATAAAAAATGTAGAGACAATACTAATATTATAGTTAAGTGTAAGAGAATACGTTGTGTATTGATCTGTGTCAGGGAGTTACAATATATAGAGACCCTAATGGGCTTAAGTGTAAGGCCCAAACCTAATCCAAACCTAATCCTAATACAGTCAGAATACAGTCAGACTATTTACGGATAAGACAGAATCCAATCATATCTAATCAAATCTAATCATATCATATCTAATATTCTAACACTCCCCCTCAAGCTGGTGCGTATATATTATGAGCACCAAGCTTGTTACAAATGTATTCAACCCGAGGACCTATAAGAGCTTTAGTGAAAACATCTGCTAGTTGATTAGACGAGTTGACAAAAGCTGTCTTGATTTCTCCTGACTGAATCTTTTCCCGAATGAAGTGACAATCAATCTCTATATGTTTGGTCCTCTCATGAAAAACAGGATTAGAGGATATATGTAGCGCAGCTTGATTATCACAGATGAGTGTCATGGGTTGTTTCTGTTCACAAAGATGAAGCTCCCGAATCAACTGCTTTAACCAGATCAACTCACAGGTAGTACTTGCCATTGCACGATACTCAGCTTCTGCACTAGATCGGGAAACAACAGGTTGTTTCTTGCTTTTCCATGAGATTAAGTTTCCTCCGAAGAAGACACAATAACCAGAAGTAGAGCGTCTGTCCGAGGGTGATCCTGCCCAATCGGCATCTGAGTAACCACAAATTTCTGTATTTCCCTGATCCGAATACAACAAACCTTTTCCTGGTGCTCCTTTGATATATCGGAGGATCCTCACAGCAGCATCCCAATGTGAATCACAAGGGGAATCAAGGAACTGACTGGCCGTACTGACAGCGAAAGAAATATCTGGCCCAGTCACAGTAAGATAATTGAGCTTCCCAATCAGCCTTCGATAACGTCCAGGATCAGATAACGGCTCCCCCTGTCTGGGCAATAACTTAACATTAGGATCCATGGGTGTATCAACTGGTTTACACCCCAACATACCAGTCTCCTCTAGGATATCCAAGGCATACTTCCTTTGACAGATAGAAATGCCCTGTCTAGATTGCGCCACCTCAATTCCCAAGAAGTAACGCAGCTTCCCAAGGTCCTTTGTTTGAAATGCACTGAATAAATGTTGTTTTAACTGATGGATTCCGTCTTGATCACTTCCGGTGAGGATGATGTCATCAACATAGACTAACAAATAGATGCACTTGTTAGGAGATGTAATCCTATAGAATACAGAATGGTCAACTTTACTGCGAATTAGGCCAAACGCCTGTACAGCAGAACTGAAGCAACTGAACCATGCTCGAGGAGACTGCTTGAGACCATATAAGGATTTTCGAAGACGACATACCTTCCCAGACTCCCCCTGAGCAACAAAACCAGGTGGTTGCTCCATGTAAACTTCTTCTTGTAAATCACCATGAAGAAAGGCATTTTTGATGTCAAGTTGAAGGAGTGGCCAGTGACGAACAGCAGCAAGGGCAAGAAATAGGCGGACGGACGCCATCTTAGCGACTGGAGAGAATGTATCGCTATAATCAAGGCCAAAGATTTGAGTAAAACCCTTGGCAACTAGGCGTGCCTTGAGACGATCAACATGGCCATCAGGTCCAACTTTCACAGTAAACACCCAGCGACAACCAACTATAGACTTCTCTGGAGGAGCAGAAACAAGGTCCCAAGTGCCATTGGTATGAAGTGCGGTCATCTCATCAAGCATCGCTTGGCGCCATCCTGGATGGGAAAGTGCTTCACCTGTGGTCTTAGGAATAGAAATAGAAGAAAGACTAGAAACAAAGGTGAAATGAGGAGGAGAAAGGCGATCACAGCTCAAGAAGGTATAAAGAGGATAAGGGTTACGAGTAGTACGTGTACCTTTTCTTTGAGCAATGGGAAGAGCCTCTGGTGAAGGATCCGGAGGGGAAGAATCAACTGCAGAGGGCAATGAGTCAGCAGGGGTCGAGTCGACTGGAGGTACTGTCTTACGACGCTGATAAGTGAGAAGTGGACGGTCCTTAGGTACTGGAGCAATAGGTGATGGCTTATCTGGAGTAGAAGCACCTGCATCTGGCAAAGACAAGTCAAGAAAAGGAACAGGAAGAACATGATCAACCTGTGACAATGGAGATGGGATAGAATTAAAGGGTTGTTGATCAAAAAAGGTGACATCCGCGGAAACTAAGTAACGCTAGAGGTCAGGAGAGTAACAGCGATAACCCTTTTGAAGACGAGAATAACCAAGAAAAATGCATTTAAAGGCTTTGGATGTTAACTTATCCTTACCAGGAGTGAGATCATGAACAAAACAGGTACAACCAAAAACATGTGGGGATAGAGGAAAGAGAGGAACATCTGGAAACAATAAGTTATGAGGAATATCATTATTAAGCACAGATGAAGGCATGCGGTTGATGAGAAAGCAAGAAGCAAGGACTGCATCAGCCCAGAAGTGAAGAGGAACATGCATGTGAATAAGAAGAGTCCTGGCAATCTCAATGAGATGTCTATTCTTACGTTCAGCTACTCCATTTTGTTGTGGAGTGTGAGGACAAGTGGTTTGGTGTAAAGTACCCTGTGTGGCTAAGAAGTGAGAAAAGTCAACAGAAACATACTCCTTAGCATTATCACTACGTAAAATATGAATAGAAGCACCAAATTGAGTATGAATTTCAGCAGAAAACTTTTGATAAATAGAAAACAACTCAGAACGGTTTTTCATTAAATAAATCCAAGTACAACGGGAGAAATCATCAATAAAGGTGACAAAATACCGAAAACCTAAAATAGACACACTACGACTAGGACCCCAAACATCTGAATGAATAATTGAAAAAGGAGCATCAGCTCGTTTATTGACTCGATTAGCAAAGGGGGAGTGTATGTGCTTTCCTTGCTGACATGACTGACAATCTAAAGTTTGAAGACCGGATAAAAGAGGAACCATCTTCTGCAATTTCGCAAGACTAGGATGCCCGAGACGACTGTGGATGAGCTGTGGAGACTCTGTGAGAGAACAAGCAACTGAAGGACTCGGCACATCAAGGTAGAACAGACCCCGTGACTCACGGCCCACTCCAATCATCTTCCCCGTACCCGGGTCCTGCACAGAAACAGAATGGTTTGAGAATGTGACAATACAATTAAGAGAATTGATCAATTTACTAACCGATATTAAATTATAAGGGATGTGAGGAATGTAATAGACAGATGTCAAGGTTAATGAGGAGGTTGGACAGATTTGTCCAATCCCATGAACGGGGGCCTTAGTTCCATCAGCAAGAGTAAAAGAGGGTAAATTATTAGAATATGTAAGGGAAGAAAAGAGTTCTTTATTACCACAGAGGTGATCAGTAGCACCTGAGTCAAATATCCAAGGACCAAGTGATGCAGAATGAGAAACACAAGCAACAGGATTACCAGTTTCTGAAGCAGAGGCCTGAGATTGAGGAGAGGACTTCCTGAGAAGGGCCTGGAATGCTGCATATTCTTCAGAGGAGAGAGAGACTGAACCATTTGAAGCAGTATCCGATTGAGCTACATTAGCAGCAAAAGAAGGTCGCATGTGAGGATACTTGGTGTAGCAGCGTTCCTCATAATGACCAAGTTGCTGACAGTAATGACAACGAGGTCGCTGACCACGTCCGACTGGACCTCCTGGGCCTCCTGGGCCACGACCTCCTGGGCTACGTCCTCCTGGGCCTCCTGGGCCCCGGCCTCCTGGGCCTCTACCACGACCACGTCCACCTCCAATATGCCCGCGAAAATCAGTACGGGAAACTAGAGCAATAGAATCAACAACAGAAGTCGATGCAGGAGCTGATTTCTTATTCAAATTCAGAAGACGCTGATACGTCATGGATAGATCAGGCTCCCCACTAGTCAAGATAGTATCACGAACATTATCATATTCTTCGGGAAGGCCAGAAAGTGTGGCAACCATAAAGAAACGTTCCACCTGTTTCCGATATGCAGTAGCATCAGTAGGGTAAGGCAGCATATCCAAATATGCCTGCATCAAAGAGCGACTCTTGCCAATATATGTCTCAATCTGAATGTCGGATGATTTGCTCAATTCCATAAACTGAGAGATGATGAAATAGAGTTGCTGAACATCATTAGTGTAGAGGTTTTTTGCTTCCTCCCACACTTCAGTGCAAGTTTGAAATGAATAAAAGATATCCAAGACAATCGGATCAATGGATTGCCAGAGGATACTCAGAAGCTGGTTGTCAATCTTTTCCCAATCAGACTTGTCCTCCTTAGGGACATCAGTAGACTTAGTTGTGAGATGGTTCCCATATCCTTGTCCAAAGAACCAAACTCGAACAGAGGTGGCCCAGTTCTTGTAATTAACAGATCCCTTCAATTTTGAAGAGGTAATGGACCCAATATTGGTAGAGATGATATTGGGAGAATTTCTCAAAGGAGGAGATGGAGACTTGACCTCCGAATGAATTGGAGGGTTTGCTGCCATAGTATCAAATCACAAAGATACAAATCGAATAAAGAGAAACGAACCTGATCACCAATCAAGAAGAGATGCGCACAAAAAGTCAGACCCACAAAGAACCAACCACAGATCCAGAAAGAGGAGGAGAAGACGAGCTTCTCTGTCCAAGACCGGCCGGAAAAAGCCGCCGGAATAGTGCTCACGCGCCGGCAGAAGGTGGCGCGTGAAGCCCACGCGCAGAGAAGACTGGAGGCGCGTGAGAGCGCGTGACAACTCCGATGGTGGCCGGACTTCCACAGAGCAGGTCGCCGGGAGGAGAGGGTTCTGTTCGCGTTCGTTCCAGACTGAAAACTCGCCGGAAAAGTACTCCGGCAGCCTGAACAGTGGCTGACGGTGGCTGATGGTGCTCCGGTGACTGTTTGGGGATGTGGATACGTGCAGAAGATGCCTGGAGAGGACTTACAGCCTTTGATATCTTACCGGAAGGACGCACGGCAAAGAAAAGATGAATCCTAAGCAGTGGGCTTAGGTTTTAAAGCGAAGAACAAGATTTCTAAGCGGAAGCGAGGGTTCCCAGAACGAAATAGCTCTGATACCAAGTTAAGTGTAAGAGAATACGTTGTGTATTGATCTGTGTCAGGGAGTTACAATATATAGAGACCCTAATGGGCTTAAGTGTAAGGCCCAAACCTAATCCAAACCTAATCCTAATACAGTCAGAATACAGTCAGACTATTTACGGATAAGACAGAATCCAATCATATCTAATCAAATCTAATCATATCATATCTAATATTCTAACAATTATTAACCAAAGGACATCAAGCAACATAACACTAAAGAGTTATTATCTCACGGAAAGCCATATTTTGAAACCATTTCCCTGAAAATAATTTTATCCTGATAGGTTAATGTATATTAAGTTTGAATGTACTGTATTATGGACCTTATAGGCCATGATACTTTTATGTAGTTGCTCCAAATTTTGTAAATGAATAATCCACTGCTCTTAAGACAGAACACATGATAGATGGTTAATCTCAAATCCATTAATCATCACCATGAATCAGAAACTGGATAATGGAAACAATATGGGAACACACTGAATTATAAAATCATGTCAAGACTCATACAGCATATAGCAGCTGTGCTTTGCGGAACCATGAAAGCTCCTCATCTCGTATGCTTTGAACTCTGGATTGAAAGCTTGATTCCCAAGCATAACATCTGAATCATATTCAGCATATCACAAACACCCTTAAGACACAATCTGTAGTCAAATTTTTAAAGTATATATATATATATATATATATATATATATATATTTTAAGTGTTCCTACTTTACAGTATCCATGGCAGCAAGAATTTCACCCATGAGGCCAACCCTTTTGTCGGTCTGTTGCAGTCCTTGCTTTGTCAGTTTACGCATTTTGCTAATCACAAAAGTCTGTTGTCAAAAACAATAAAAAAATTATTTATTAATTTATTTATCAGAGAGAAACATATAAAGTAAAATAGAATAATTATTGTTTAGAAAATGAACAAGATCCGCATACATCAGTTTCAACTTAGACTAAATTCTAAACTGTCAAGTATTTTGCACTCTATTAAAATTAATGAATTTAGGCTTCATCACCAATAGGCATCATATTATTATAAGTACCATAATGTATTGTAACAAACAAATTGGAATTGAGCAAACAATTTAATAAATTATTCTCTCTGTTGAATTTATAGGGATTTGATGGGAAAGGAGAGATCTTGTTAGGGTGCATTGCTCCTGGTTTTGTCAACTCAAATGACCATCTTGCGGATGTGCCAAGTTAGTCTCTCAGAGGTCTCAAATTAGCTACATTAACAAGCTTGGTAAATGTGATGTATATGCCATAACTTGTGGGTGAGTGTTCAACTAGTAGCTTCCTTATTATTACTTATTTTCACTACACTCTTGCACTACAGCATATACATAATCTTTGTTCTCTATTATAAACAATAGAGAGATCTCAACATCAGGGTCCATTCCTCACTTTACATATTTGTTTTTCAGAAAGTAAAATTGATGAATTAATAATACTAAATAATCAAAAGGTCGTCTGAAAACTAAACAATAGACTTAGAAACTACAAAGATTAAAATTTTGGTAAATCCTTGTAATTCTAGACAAGAATCATTTTGATATTACATATGGTATCGGCAATTGTATGAAAAACAATAAAGTTATGTTAAGCTTGTATCAAACAAAACTACAGAGAAAATGGTTTAAAAGTATAAGTAATGCTACAACAAAAAAAGAAAAAAAAAATACGCACATGCACAGGCACACGCGGGCAAGTTATAAAAACAAAGACAAAACTTGCCTGCAGTGGGAGAATGAGAACTAGCATTATTGATCCAATAAGGGAAGCAACACCTAGTTGCTGGTATAGGAGAACCATAGCTATGATGATACGGAATGGCGCTGACCATAGTCCATGAAGTTGTTGGCATATTTGCTGAACATTGAACATTGTAAAGGAATGTTATCAGTGAAATTTATAACATAGCAACATTGTCTACATTCCAAAAAAGAATAAAAATAAAATTTCAATATATGATCATTTGTAATTCTGACTTAAGATTCATTATAAAATTATACAGATATCATAAGTAAAATTTTAATTTGGCTAAGGTTGATAAGCTTTATTAGTTAGTTTTTTTTTTTCATTTACTCAATCTAATCAACTCTAAGCACTAAAGCTAACTCAATTCTGAGCCTCTCAGGTTTATCAACTAGACTAAAGGTCAAGTCAATGGAAATGTTGGGCTGCTTGGCAAGCTTTGTAACAAGCAGTACTGCTGTAAAGATATAATGAAATTATACATCTGCTATTTTTTAAATGGATTTGACTAGAATCTTATTGGGTTGTTGTGTTTGGTTGTTTTGTGATGAAAATCGCTAAAACTTCTATTGTATTTGAGGCTTTGAGCTTTGACGAAACTCCCATGGCGAAACCCGGTTTTGAGCGAGTCAACCCGCCAAAGGAAGAAGAAGCATGGAAATAGACAAATCTCAAGAAATCCTAGGAGTTGGGGAGAGATTGTGAGAGAGGCATCCTATTTATACTTCTCAGTAAAAAATCTCATGAAATCCACTAAAATCGTCAGATTTTTGAATATCACATGATTATTTTTCTTTTGTTTAAAATCCTGATTGAATACCATTGTATTTGGACAGACTCTAAATTAATATTTTAAAATCATAATCGAATATCACGTGACTTTTTTTCAATCCTATAAGATCTTAATTGAAAACCAATAGATTTTTAAAACAATCTATTAAGATCGTTTAAAATCTCAATCCAATATACCCCATTATTTTCATTTTAGTTCTCGAAAGATTTTGGTCATCAAGTTAGTCATTCAATATTGCAAAGTTTTATCAATTTAGTCCCTTAATCATGAAAGATGTCATCAAATTAGTCCCTAAAGATTTAAATAAAATGGGGAGAATGACCAAAATAGTACAGTTTTTTCTTTTTAAATAAAATTGTTGAAATCATATAATTTGGAAACTATTTATCATGGTGATATACTTGACTTCTTCTGACTATGGTGGTGACACGCGTCCACACGATGAAAAGTGATTGAAAATGATTAAATTATATCACTTTGGTAGATAATTTCAAATTACATTATTTTAATATTTTTTTCAAAAAAGAAAAAAAATAAAACTATACTACATTGATCAATTAGCCTCAAAAGACAAGTATTTATTATAAAGCAGAAAATGAACCTGCAGTGCATTGGCATCTGATGTTATCATATTCATGAGCTTCCCAGTTGTGAATGGCTTTCGACCTTCATGAGTTAGCCTCAAAGATTTTCTAAATATAGCAGCCACCTATAGTTAGACATGGTCACATCATATAAAATGTGTAGATAAATAAAATAATAAAATAAATTAAGAGAAAGAGATGGCATACCAAAGTTGATCTAAGCCGAAAACCAACTCGCATAACATTCTGGAAATACTGTGCTTCACATAGAACACCGAATGACTGAAAAGAGTAGAACCATCTGTTAATTGTTCTTTTCTTATTTTCATTGAATGCTATCAAAAGTATTAAATAGTTGATATAAGAGACAAACTCTATCCATTGTGGAAAAATAAAATTTAGACTCTTCTATCATTCTTCATGCTTTAAAGATATTAATAGTTAATTATTTAGCAAAGGTGATAATCCTAGTTTCTCACACGGGAAAAATGATTGTTACAGAAAAAACAAGAGCAGAAATATGAATTTTGGATGAATTATTTTTTTATGAAAATAAAAGCTGGGATGAGAAGGTAAGAGTAACACATTGATATGATAAGATTTCTACGTGGACTACAACCTTCACATTCTCATAATAACACATCCTAACCAATATTAAATCCGGTTCAACAGGTGCAAACCCAGTACTAGTTTTCTAGTTTGATCCATTTTTTGGAAATTGTGGTTTCACCACTGCAATCTTGGGATTCAAACTTGGCAACTAAGGAAAGGGAAGCGAAATGTATAATGACCCCAACTGGTATATCTTAGTTAGAGATTTAATTTAAGGATTTAAATGTCATAATTAGATTTAGAACGTGATTTCGAGTGTTTTGATTGTAATCATTACTAGGTCATGAACAGTGACTTCTGGTGGGTATTCTGCACTGCTGTGTAGTAACCGATAGAGCTCGAAAATGAGCAGAATGATGTTAGAGACCTAATTTGAAAATTCTGATGCCAAATATGAGTTTAGAACGGAAATTGTGTAGTCTAGCACTTTTTGCGAAAATCTCCTAAAACGTGTTTCTGCCGGGTATTTTGTATCGCCGTTTAGGCAACCAGTAGAATCCAAAAATCTGAAAAAGTTCAATAATAGTATGTTCAAGTCCAATATATTCCATACAAGTCATTTTTAGACCAAAAGTATTCAGTTGAGAAGTTTTACGGTTTTGCATGCAAAATTGCACTGTTAGTGATTCGCCGTGCATGTTTTTGGAAACAGTGTCCGAATTTATCTATGAATAGCTTAAAATATTCCTTATGGAATATAAGTGAATGTAAATAAACTTAGAAAAAATAAAATTATATCCGTAGCTTTGAGTGAATACAGGGTCAAGTTAAGTGAATTTAATTTAGAAGAAAACATTTGTTAAATGACCACATGTCTTATAAGAGCAAGTGGCTTAAGTGAAACACTATTCACTCACCTTCTTCCTCTTCTCTCTCCTCTTGGCCGACCTCCTCCCTCTCCATTAGAGCTAGGTTTTCAAGTTTTTCTCCTCTTGATTTCTCTATCCTCACGCAACCAAATACAAAAGTACATTACACGATTTTGATAGTAGAACACCCAAGGAATCTATTCCAATACTTGATTTGGGTTGAAATTGAGTGTGTGAAGAGTTCCTCCCCTCTCCATTTTTCTGGCACTATTCACAAGGTCAAGAAAGTGGGGTTTTTGATGAGCCAAGCTTGGTGGATGATCTTTGGGCCTTGGATTGTTGATTAGAGGTAAGAAATATCTATTTCTATGGTTCCAATTTTGATTCCCAAGTCTTGAATGTTTAAGAGCATGTTAGGGTTTAATAATTATGCCTTGTCTTTGGAGTTTTGAGTTGTGAGTAGGGCAGGAATATATGTTAAGAGTTTGAACTGTGTAGGTAGTTATGTAAATAAAATAGGAGTCTGAAATGAAAATGAGATTTTGAGCATGTGTGTAGGCTTTGGAATATATGTATGTATGTATAAGAGAGTGTAGGAGTTAAATGGTTAAAGAATTTCTTGGTTGTGAAAATGTCATTTTGAGGCTTATGTGCTTTAATTGTGGAACCTTGGGAAATCATGAATATGTTAATGAATCGTGGATTATATGTATATGATAAGCTTGAATTTGATGGACTAAAGCATTGGAATCGTGAAATTGGCATGGTTTCTTTTATGTGCCTCTTAGCCATTTACAAAGGAAGTATGTTTTAGGAGTGACTGTTTATGCTAGTGAGCACTTATGCGGTCTAAGGACTATATGATTAGATATTTAAACTTTTGTTTGGGTTAGATAAAAAGAAAAAATGAATAAGTTCCTTCTTTGGGCCTTATATGTGAATCTGGCCATTTTCAAAGGAGGTATGTGCTAAGAGTTAATGTTTTCCAAGCGAGCACACTTTTATGCGTAGAATAATGTTCTAAGGTGTGTGAACCTTCACTTTGGTGAAAGACAACAGAAAATAAGTTAGTTCCTTTGAATGGCCTTAAAATGAGTTTTGGCCATTTTCAAATGAAGTATATGTTCGGAGATACTATTTCGCAAAGTGAGAACACTTTTATGCGTAAAATAATTTATATAGGTGTGGAAGCTTGGGTTTAGGCACTAGATAAAGAGAAATCTTATAGCTCCTTTGTAATGGGCACTCTGCCTTAAATTGGGAAAAATAGGCTTTAAGGTGCTAAGAGGAGTAATGAGTGTTCTGAAGGCCTTTTGAGACTATCCTAAGACTAGGTAAATGTGTGGAATTATGTGGGGATCTGTTGAACAAAGAACCACCCACCCATGGTCTAATATGGTTAAGTTAAAAGAAAATGGTTATGACTTGTGTGTATGACATAATATTGGCATAAGAATTGATAAGTAAAAGATGAAATCAATAAATGGTGTGTCTGGTTAATTACTTGACTTTGAACTATTTTACTGATATTTGTGTGGATTCCCTATTCTAGGTGCGCCTAGGAGTCTTGTTGAGGATCCCACATCAAATGAGGCTAGGTAACTCATATTTCGGGTAGGCCATTTAAACAGATTCAAGAGGTAAGCTCTATGTTTAAGGGGTTCGCTCCTACTTTGTGTTCCGCCATAGTGTACAAACTATGGTCGGGTTGTATGATAAGTATGTGATATATGATATAGATGCATTCATATAGAGCTATATGATTATGTGATATGGCATGTTTTATGTGATATGTATAATGATTCTTGGCCATTGAATCGGTGTGCATCAACTCCATGTAGGGAAGAGACCCTTGGGAATAACGGTGTGCACCAATGAGATATGAGATATTCCATGTAGGGGAGAGACCCTTGGGAATAAGTGCGTTGATTTTCACTTGGAGAAAGATCCTTGGGGAATGACTGCGTACTTCAGAGATGTTATATGAGATATGTTCAGTACAGTATGATATATGATGTATATGATGTTTGGTATAGGGTATGGAGAGTTCTCTATAAACCTGGAGCTTACTGGAGATTCGTCTCTCACCTCGCTTGGGGATATGATTTCAGGTACACTGTTAGCTGGAGAGCCCTCATGGGGCAAGGACCCTACCCGTGGCTAGAGGTACTAGCATGAGGATATGGAGTTTTGGGTAGCCAGAGGCTACTATTTATTATAGATGTTATTTTTGGAGAGCATATACGGTTGTATTTGTGCTCTATTTATTTAGGGATCATGATGTCTGATCCAAAGTTATGTATATGGCATGTATATGTGCTGTATATGCTTTCTGTTTTTTATGCATGTACATTTTAGAATTCAGGCATTATTATGAGATGAGGTATATTCTAATATGTGATTATTGTATGTTGTTAGATTTAGAGGCACGGAGCCTTGTCTGCATGCGCCCATGGATGGATTTTATAGTCATATGTGATATATATTTGATATATTATGATGCTTGTGCTTATCAGGACATTATGAGAGTGGGATTATATCCCCGTTTATCCGAGAAACAAACGGAACACTGTCCGATTTGAGACTCCGTCTGGAATGACACTTGTGGTTATATCCTGATGGTATGTGATCTTTGATTATGGTCATTGATCACGGATGTAATATAGAATGAAAAGAAAGAAAGAAAGTATGTTATAAACAAGTAAGAAAAGATGTACGTGTTGCAATATATCATGTGAATTAAAAGAAAAGAAAAGAAAAAAAGTTAGCTCGTACTTCCGCTAATCGAGTTAAAAGATTAAGTAAAACTTCTGCTAATGCATGTTTAAATATCATATGTATGTTAATTGAACCAGTTCGAGACGGGGATATTACAATATGTTAACTACCAAGTCAAATTACCTTGGTTGTCATATTACTTCAATTTTTATATTTATTATATATCTTTTCATAAATTCAATTTAAGCGGTTGAACCAGTAACCCATTGACCCAATACCCTGATCTAGTCGATCACTTATAGGCACCTCAACTAGAGAAGAATAACTTGCTACAAATTATTTAGTTCCATAATATTGACGTTTTATCTATTGGTATGTATAACTAAAGCTAGAAAAAGCAGGGAAAGAAAGAAACAAAAAGGAAAACCTCATTTATATTTAACTCTACAAGGTTCACCAGAACCTGTGTTAATTGGACCAAAACTCTTTAAATTATAAGAGAGAGTAGCCATACCACTCCAACAAATATGGAGAAGGCGTAGATGTAACCAATCCAGGATGGATCTCCATTTTGCATTGACTGTCATTCAAAATAAGAGTCAAAAAATATGATGGAGCTAGAACAAGCCATAAACATTCGTGTAAAACTGAAATCGTAAACATAACAACAAAATTATCATTTAAAAAAGGGCACAAACTATATTATATATACCTCTGTGTGTGTATCTATTTATTTATTTTCCACTTAGAAATCCAATGAGTTTCTGCTGGATTAATGTTAGATATTCACAAAAACTTTAAAAAAAAAAATAGAAAATGTATTCGGTTGTAAAAGAATCTTAGAATTTCAGAAATACATACTTATAGGGATTAGAGTCAATTGGTCTGTTTGATTTCTATTTCTAAAAATAGTTTTTTAGGTTTTAGAATTAAAAAAAAAAAACTTATTTCAAAAGGATTGGTCAGTAAAATAACTCCTAAAGGCCAAAACAATAACTGTTTTTTAGTTTTTAAAACTAAAAAAGAACAACCTAGAGATGTTTTCAAAAATGTATTTTATTATTATTATTTTTGCAATTACAATTCTATAATTATGAGGATTCATTAATGACACTTTTATAAATAAATTTAATTTTTTAAATTTTAAATTATTTTATGATAATAATTTTGTAATTATGAAAGTTCATTAATAATAATTTATAAATAAATATAACTTCTTTATAACTTTGAATCTAACCATATTCAAACAAGTTTAATTATTTTTCTACTTTCAGAATTTATATTCAAAACAGTTTTTTTTTTTTAAAAAAAAAAAATCCTATTCAAACATACTATTGTTTCCTTTTCTGTTTTTTAATTTTATTATTTTTTGTGATATCCCATATTATTCTTGGGTTTCCCAATCACTTTTTTCCTTTTTTAGTCTCTGTGACAACGCTATATAGTCTACATTGACTAATGAATAAATTTATGAGATAGATTATTCTGCATAATTAGATTATAGTCTGAATATATATTCAATGGGACAGTCCTCTAGCATTGGATATAAAATGATCTGTCAAACATGTTGGTATTTTTCTCTTCAGTGGAGAATGATATGATCTCCAAACTAATAGGCATGTGAGTTGACAAATGTTAATTCTTGTGTGTAGGGGTGCTAAACAAATCAGGAGCCTTTGCCTCGGCTCGTGAAGATCTGAGCTTACATGTTTAAAATTGGTTGTTGGCACTAGGCTTGAACTTGTATAAAAGCTCGTCTAATAAAAAGGCCTCAGGCTCCAATTCAAAAGCTCGGCCTTAAAGCCTCTCAGGCTGGCCTAGTATATATATATATATATTTTTATACTACTTGTAATAGCCCTCTCTTTCTCCTCAATCCATTTCACCCCATTTTATTGGTTAAACAGACTTTTTGAATGATTTTGGTTCTATATTAAGTTGTTTGGATATACATTGAATTTATGAATATTTATGGAATTACTAGTGTTATTGATTGTATATTCTGTTTGGATAAATTTTTGTTGTCTTATTTTATTTAAACAGGCTAAACCAAGCTTTTATTTTTTGTAAATAAGTCAGGCCATAGGCCGATAGTTATATTTATAACAGGTAACAGGCTTGGTCAGACTGATATATTTAAGACTGATACATTTAAATACAGGCTTAGCCTCTTAAGATCAAAGCTCGGCTCGAGTGGGCTCGTTAACACCCCTACTTGTGTGTCCATTTTTTTGATTCGTCATGTCTATTCCATGTTGTGCATGTGTTTTTGGATTTATCACAATAATCATTGTGCTTGTTCGCACTCTGTATCTTCTATCTCCACATAAATCCAATTTGACGTAAGGAAGAAATAAACTTACATTTAAGAGATGGTTCAGCAAAATAGGCCCCAAAAACTGAGAAAGATCATTACCAATCTGCAAAGATTATTAAAAATTTCCAAGTTTCATTGGAGTCAGCACCCAGAAAATTCAACAATGTTATTATCATGTACAACTTTTTCATACTTTGCATTGAATACAATTCTATATATAGAGCATGTATTTCTTGTAGATGATAAGTTGAACTCTAATGAGATTACTGGCTGCTAGAAAATGTAAAAGTATCCTGTAGCTCTGTACATTGTCTGGCTTCATTAAGAAGTACATTGTACATGATAAGTATTTCCTATGATAACTGTCATGCTTAGCTAATTTTGATTTTCAACATCAACATCAATAACACCTTTATCCCAAACTAGTTGGGGTCGGCAATTTTAATTTTATCAATTTAAATTATCTTATTTTGGTATAAATTATAGTGAGAAAATAATCCTTTCAACCCGCAATCAGAAGCAACTTGCAATGTGAAAATGTTTACTGATCATACGAAGCAGTTAAGTTAAAGATCAAAAAACTGGGGGGCAAAAGTTCACCTTATAGATGCCTCCCCACCAAAACCTGACCAAACATTCAAGCCAAATCAAATAAAAAAGGAGACTACAGTATTACTAAGGCCACCTTGAAGAGTCAGAATAACGATCAAACAATTAAGAGGGAAGATAAATGCACCTTTTTCCTAGGCTATTGTTCAATGCTTTTAAAAGCCAAGGGTTAGAGTTTTGGAATTCTAACATCCAACATTTTTGGAATCTGCAGAAACCAAAAGTACTTTAAATTATGCATATAACATATACATGAATTTCATACAGTTAGCAAGGAGAAAGATTGCAAACTTTTCATTTAATGTCTCTGTATGATCCCATTTGTCTAGCTTCCAAACATCCTTCTCGGTGATGGGTTTTCTGTAGCCTTGTTGCATGAGTGGAGTTATCCATCCAAAACTTAATCCTTCAAAGGATGTATAAAGCATTATTAGTAAATAAAGTTACACGGATAGAGACTGCCTAATAGCATTAAAAAGGAAAACAACAAATTAGAAGTATTGAAAATAGATTGATAAGAAGTCTCACACAGTTATATTAGTCTTATATAATTGTTGTAGTTGCTCTATATAACAGAGCCTTTGCTGTGTAATTGAAACATATGGATTTAAACATTCTTTTCCATGTTATTCAACAAACCAAAAAACACAACCTATGTTGCCACACAGTTTTATGCTACTCCTTCCCTCTTCCCAAAATTTGTAATGTTGATAATTGTAAAGAACCAATTCAACCCAACAACTTAAGTTGTTGGGTGAGGGCCCTTTTAATGGTTTATATTATTCTCTAACAATAATCAACACCCACAAAATTGGTTACTTTCTGTTTTGTTTTTTTTTTATCACTCTTTCAGTGATCAAGAAAAATCACAGGAAAGGAAAAATAATAACAAGTGTAGAGTCTCACTGACAACAAAATCATTCTAAATATCAAATGAAATCTATCTATGCCCTTCTTTGGAAAAACACTCGAAATTGTAGTCAGAGAAAGAAATTATAAAATCACTGCAATGCCGGTGTCACCAGCCACGCCGCTCGATTGCAACCAATAGATATAGTGGAAAGCTTTGAGACCATTTGATAAGAACATTGCGATGCACTGCCCCAAAAGCTAGCTCAAAGGGTGAGAGTACCCAAGGCCTTATAAACCCCATATTAGTTGCCCATACAACCAATGTGGGACTTCAAGTCCCATACCTTGCAAATGGGATCATAACACTATGACTTATAAACACGTCCAGTTCTGGGATTACTCACTAGAGAATACATTGCCATACATCTCAGGGCAAACTTGATCTTCTCCACAAAGTGGTTCATATACACCATTGTCAGGTTCCTCAGTTGGCATTATTATATGGCCAGAATAGGGAACCAAATTAGGCATGTAAACAAGAAGTAAGGTGCCAAATAACACCTACATCAGAAAAGTAGCCACAATAAGTTCATGGTGATGCATCTGACTGATTCAATGATATAGCAATATTGAACTTCGTTAAAAGAAGGGAAAATCAGAAATGTACCTGGCAGGTAACACTGCTAATGTACAGAAACAGGGCAGATCTGCAAAAAGGAAATAAAGGCATAAATATGGTGCTGCATACACCAACGGGTTTACCTTTATATAAGCTACTGCATGGATACCACATGAAGATGCACTCATTACATTAATAACTATGTTGAATATGGATCATCATATAAATGAATTGTTGTCTTTAACAAAAGTTTCATATCCACCACAATCATGCTAAATTTGATAATTTTTGGGTTATTTAAATGATTGAGTAGAGATTTTGCAATAATTTTGATTATGTAAGCATATGAAATTGCTGCCAGAAGAAATAAACATTTTCTAGCAAAAAAGACTACTTCCAGTGTTTCAGTAATACTGATACACCCTATGCTTGTAGTTTCATTAATTGTGGAACCTATCTTGTGATCATAATGATTGAAGTAGGATACCTAAAACTGCTGTAATTTATTATTCAGCTGATACAGAAGCTCCTTTGTCATGAAAAATATATATTCCAGCATCAATCAAGAATGGAAAGTCCAAAATTCATTTCCTCTTCTCTGGAATCAGATGCTTATCCTAACCATAATACACTGAAGGTCATAAACTTTTAACAAATAACCGATATGCTTTCATATTTTGAAAAAAAATAAAATAAAAAAATCTAATTTTAAATTCAAATTCAATTGACTTTCTTCCATGCATAAAAATCTCAAGCTGGCGCCCTACATTCATTATTTTAATATCCTTCTCAGACCCCATTATAGATTTAAGTTAGACAAAATTCCAAATATTTACATGATCTCAGTAATACATTTAAAGGGAAAAAAAAATCATGAAACAGCATATTAAAAAGATATAAGCTAAAGGAACCCTTTATTATTATTGTCAATAAAGTGAGCAGGCTTATTGTTAACAGACATTTCATATTGTATCTACATCACATTGAAATAAATTATTTCAGGAGAAACACATGATGCTGCTAAAGCAATCACAGCTTACTGTATATATTACTGCTTAAAAAATGGGGGAAAAAAAAGTTATAATTACAAAGAAAATGTGAAATAGAATGCACTATTAACTTAAAATTAAAAGCTAACCTGCTGCAGTAATCTTTCACTGACAGAAGAAGGTTAAGCATTACAATATCTCCCACCAAAACATAGATAACTCCAAACCGCACCAACCATCTAAATTGTCGGATATAAACCTTGGTTTCCAAGAGGATAAGAATTATCATTGAGAACCAAGTAAGTGCTTCAATGATCAAAGCTGTTATCTGCAAGAACACAGAAACAGAAGGGGATTAATTTGCTCTTCCAGCCCAATTGTACACATTTCTCTTTTGCATTTTTACTCTAAAGCCATTATGAAATATCAACTGAGTGACAAAAACTACTGTATATTCATGCAAAGGTAATATAAAAATAATCACTCCCCGTTAAACCCTGACTAATGAAATGGGGTAAGGACAATCCTTATATGCAGTCTTACATTTGCACAAATGTAAAGAGGCTGTTTTTCGGATTCTAACCCATTACCTTTCAGTCACGGGATACACCACCCCAAAAACTAGCTCTAAGGATGGGAGTGCCCAAGACCTTATAAACTCCAATTTTTTCCCTCACACGAGAGCCCATTGGGCTTGAAGAGTGGACAATGCAACAGACTCAGCCTACCTATGCTAAGAAACGCCACAAGAAAAAATGGGGGACGGCGAGGCTCTGATACCATGTAAAGAACCTTGGGATACACCACCCCAAAAGCTAACTTTAAGGGTGGGAGTGCCCAAGACCTTATAAACTCCACGTTAGTTGGACATACAACCAATGTGGGACTATATATCTCAACAGTCACAAATGAATAATTTTACCACTATTCCAGGCACAAAGGGAATATAATTATAGTAATTGGAGTATCCATGAAAAACCCACCTCAAAAGGAGCAAAACCAGTTTCCCCATTCAGATTGAAGGCTGAAATTCCAGTTACCAATCTCCATAAAGGCTGAGCAGCACAGTAACCAGCCAACATTCCCAGAACATAATTATAGTAATTTGAACTCAAACGAAACCTCTGAGCTTTGGCATTGCTAGTGATAAGACATATTCGATATAAGCACAGGCCCATAAGAACCAAATTGGAGATGGAGATAACAAGTGTGTCAATTGCACAAGGTGTATAGGACCCAAAAACATTATCCACTACTTTTTCCCAAATACTGTTTGCTGCTGGCTGGCAGTACCAAATTAATGGTTCAAAACCCATCTTTGGCCCACTCAGTTGACACAAACACTCCACAGATTTCACCAATGATACTTTAATAGCTCATTTCCTAACCCCAGATGGAGTAACTGCAACAGAAAACCACAAACACCTTCATATTAAAACGGGGAGAAAAAAAAAAAAAAAAAAAAGGAAACAATATAAATGAAACCCACCATCCGTAAGTTATTAATTATTCGACTATTACGATTCGAGCAGCGTAAAGTAAGGATAGGGTATATGCAGTTTTATTATTTCAATGTTAACCCTCCACAAGGTAACTAACTATATTAGTCTTAAATTTGTAGGAAAACCAGTCTTAAACTTTACCATCCAATTTGAAAAACAAGATTTGTTTTCTTCTTTAGCAATACTGATTTATGCAACAAACGAACAGATAAGGAAACTAAACAGTCTCAAAAGAGAAATAGCACAGTTCTGCTTACTGTTACAGTCACTGTAGGGGGAGGAGTGAGAACATACTTTCCTAAGGAAGACATAATAAATAAAGTGCTGACACAAGACAAATAAGGAAAACAGCACTTAAACTACTACATGCATGTTCACTCGAACATGTGATAGATAAAACCTAAGCGGAATAAGACAGACAAATCAATATGAAAAAAAACAACATTGCTAACGTCACAGGTGACGGACTATAAGCTATAAATAACAAACATAATTAACTAAAATTAAAATAAAGATTCTCCCATTTCGATATAAATTGGAGGGAAAAGTGTGTATAATTTTGAAGGATGCAAAGTTGTGTCATTTTAAGAGAGAGAAAGAGATAGATAAAGGAGGAGAGAGAGTTGACAAAAAAAATAAAGTTGTGGGTCCCACCTCTTTGTGAGAGTGAAAGGATGTAAGTTGTGTAATTTAAATGTATAGACACTTTTCCCTAAATTGAAAATATGAATAAGATAGACAAATCAACATGAAAACATTATTGCTAACGTCACGGCTTACGGATTATAAATTGTAACTAACCAATAGACATGATTAAAATTAAAATAAGAAAAAAATATATATAATTTTAAAGAATATAAAATTATGTGGTAAAAAAAAAAGATAAATAATGGAAGAAAGAAAGTGGACAAAAAAATAAAGATGTGAATCTTATTTATTTGTGAGAGTAATTAAAAGGACAAATAATTTTCCTTCAAATAAAGATTGTCCGGAACGGATTCTTTATAAATTAAAGATATTTATTTGACAAAAAAATGGATAAAGTTACTAAAAATAGATATGTAATCAATAATGACTTTGAACTTGGGATCACATCCTTGACCTCAAAGACATCAATGGCAAGTAGCTCTTCCCCAGATACGTTCATTTTCTCTGAAGCAAGGGTCCGTCGCTTCTCATGTGATTGTTGATGAGAAAAGTTATAGCAAATTTTTAACACTAGGATACACGTGCAGATTCTATCAAAAAAAAAAACAGAATTCGGACGCGTATCCTGTGTTGCTGCATTTTTTCTCTTCTGCAATCACATAAGAAGTACTTTCCCCAATTTATAAATTGTGATAGCTTATCTTCATTTTAAAAATAATTTATACTAATCTACCAAAAAAAAAAAAAAACTCATACTCATAAAAACCAGCCAAATCACACCGATTCTTATGCATGGTCAGTCCATTGCTTCAACCGGATCGATTATATCATCAATTTATCGATTTCCGGATTCATCCGACCATATGGATCCGATTTTATTAACATTTGTCTAATCTATCTAATATGATATCATATAATTTCTGTACCTAAAAGAAAGTTCATTTGAATTCAATAAATATATTAATGACCCGATGATGGCCGATGGTGGTTAAAAAGTGATTGGTTTGAAGTTTGAGGTTGAATTACGGAAGCAATATATATATATATATATATATATATATATATATATATATATATATATATATATATTGTTTACAAACTCTTACTAATTATATTATATCTGATCGGTCATACTTCATTCAAGAGTGTATGCCCGGTTATATTTAATGTAATTTATAGAAAAAAGTATGACCGGTTATACTTAGTATAATTTGTAGAAAAAATTTGTAAATGAATCATTCACACACACACACACATATATATATATAAGAAAAATATTTCTCAAGTTGTTTGAGATAATGTTATCTCCAACCATCCCAAAATTACGTATTTATTTTTTTATATTAATTGATTTACCTTTGAATGGTTATGATTCTTTTTTTTTCTCTCTTCCTTTATCACCATTGATTCATCTTTGTACAGTTATGATTTAGTAGCCGGAGATAACATTGTCTCAGTCAGCTTGAAAAATGATAAGCTCTATATATATATATATATATATATATATATATATATATATATATATATATATATATATATATATATATATCGAAGGAAAAAAAATGCATTAATGATCTTTCGAGTCATGGCCAATAATATATTCATCATCCCATAATATTAACACAAATACAAGGAACATTAACCAAATCCAAATGAAATTAAAGTTCAAAAAATAACATTCATAATCGACAAAGTAACTCAAAATGTGAACTTCCCCCTCATAATTTTATGCACTCTAAATACTAACCCGATTCTTTTTTGATGAATAAATTATTATTCACTTTTAAATAGTAAGTATTCCATACACATTATTTAAGTAAGGTAAAATTAAAAAGAAAAAGAAGCAAGTTAAAAGAAATATTAAAAAATTTAAATTATAAAAATAGACATACATAATTAATTTTTAGATTTTAAAAAAGTATAAACTATAAGATAAAATATTTAGAATTATATATTAAATAAAATACATAACTCAAAAAATTTGAATTTAAAATATAGAAGTCGAGTAAAAATGACGTTTTAAATAGCGGTAATTTTTAAAAGCAGGAAACACTAAACTGGGGGAAATTAGGGACCCAGGGGTATAAAATTAGAGGAAGAGAGAAAATTTTGAGGAGAGAAGATACCTGGGAGGATTTGAATGATTTTCTTGTATCATTATTCCATTCCACTCATGATATATATAACCCTGAGTTAGTAGCAGCCACTGTCATTGCCTCACTTTGATTAGAATTATCCACGGCAACTTGCACGTTATATGGACAAGTTAGTGAGCAATGTAATTTCGTCAAATGCCTAGTGAGCCTTCCAAACCAAAGGTATCCGCCACTGGGACAGTCACACCAATCATCAACAAGACCTAAGCCAAGGGATGCAGCATGTCTTAATATTTTCTGTTCCCCACAACACAAGCACAACTGTCTCAAGAAACCTATGAATATTCTTACCGGTTGGTAAAAGTTTAGGAATTCTAATTGGGCCACCAGCAGGTCCCAGCTCCACATACTTACCCTTTTTTATGACTTGTGTTAAATTTCCCAATTCATTATCAGCTACAATCAACTTCAAACATTCTGCCAAGAATTCAAACAATGGTCTGAGTTTTTCCTAATCAGCTCGGTAAAATACGGTGTTGTTGAGTCTGATTTTTGAACACAGATATAGCTCATAAAAGCTCATTCAGAATGAACTTATCTATGAAGTGTATAAGTAGTAATGTATCCGTTCTTGATTAAATTTAATATATCGTAATTTAACCTATGAAAATCAAAAATACATACATCCTTACTTGCATCTTGAAGACAGATCACTTTTTTAAGGTCCAACCAACACGGATAATAAAAACAAATTTCATTCAACAATAAAGAGAAATTACTTTCAGTAGTATTATGAACTTGATAAAAACACAAGTCCATCTCAGCAGCAATGAAAATAGCCTGAACCAAAATCTCATTATAGTAACAACTTCGCTGCTAACCTGATGATTCATTTCAATTCGTGGAACAAACATTCACGTGGAAGATGATTCCCACCAAAGTAAAGGACGCGACCAGCAATTGATAATGTTTTTAATTGAGTTGATGAGAAAGGGGAGAAAGATTGATGTTAAGGGAAATAGTAACAATTTGCATCTAGATGTGGATAATTAACGTACACATTAGACTGCAAATATTAGCCATGTTTGTGAAAGTACAGAGAAGCCAAGTATAAAAGAAGTACCCTATACCCCAAACAAGATACTATTCCTTTCTAGAAAGGAAAAGCACCAATCAGTTGGAATCACTAGTATTAAGGATTTGTTACCAACTTTTACCACCAGTCCCTGCCCATCCACTCCCACCACCAGTGGGAGTTGCTTTCTTCTCATGAGCAACACTCCATCCAGAATTATCATTTCCATCACCTTGTCCCTGTTTAGGTCCCCAACCACCACCATTAGAGGAATCTCTATTTCCACCCCAACCACCAGGTCCTGCCCATCCACTCCCACCACCAGAGGGAGCTGCATTCTTCTCATGAGAAACACGCCATCCAGAATTATCATTTCCATCACCTTGTCCCTGTTTCGGTCCCCAACCACTATCGTTGGAGGCGTCTCTATTTCCACTCCAACGACCACGTCCTTGGCCATCACCTTGGCTTCCTCTCCTTCCTCTTCCCCTTCCTCTTTCTTGTCCCTGTCCCTGTCTCCAACCACCATCACTAGAGGCATCTCTATTTCCACCCCAACCACCAGGTCCTGCCCATCCACTCCCACCACCAGAGGGAGCTGCATTCTTTTCATGAGAAACACTCCATCCAGAATTATCATTTCCATCACCTTGTCCCTGTTTCGGTCCCCAACCACTATCGTTAGAGGCATCTCTATTTCCACTCCAACGACCACGTCCTTGGCCATCACTTTGGCTTCCTCTCCCCCTTCCTCTTTCTAGTCCCTGTCCCTGACTCAAACCACCATCACTCGAGGCATCTCTATTTCCACTCCAACGACCACGTCCTTGGCCATCTCCTCGGCTTCCTCTTCTCCCTCTTCCCCTTCCTCTTCCTTGTCCCTCTCCCTGTGTCCAACCACTATCATTAGAGGCATCTCCATAGCTACCACCTTCATGCCTCCCACCCTCGTTGCTATTTCCACTCCAACGACCACGTCCTTGGCCATCACCGTAGCTTCCTCTCCTTCCTCTTCCCCTTCCTCTTCCTTGTCCCTGTCCCTGTTTCCAACCACTATCATTAGAGACATCTCCATAGCTACCACCTGCATGATCCCAACTCTCGTGGCTATTCTGATAGCTAAAATTACTGGTTCCACCTTCACTGCCGTCAACAGGACCACCCTCACCCCAACGCTTGCCAATGTTATCTTTCCAACCAGAAGAATTCGCATTTGCCCAACCACCACTACCGGAGTTTTCACTTCCACCATTGCCCCATTTACCACTATAGCTGTCCCTGTTCATATCAGGCTCACTTACACCTCCTGGGCCATCACCTTGGCTCCCTCTCCATCCCCTTCCCTCTTCAGATCTAGGACTGAATCCACGACCACGACGGCCACGGCCACGACCATTCCCACGGTCATTATAACCTAAAAGGCATAGATTAAAAGAGTCATATCAAAGTATTAAAAGCATCAATACTGTATTCTCCTAGGATACTGATGTGTACATGGAAACCAAAATCCTATTTCAATCTCAATTGAATAATGTTTCTCCCTTTCTCCTAGCAATATTATATTGTAATGATAACACACCAATATGACAACAATATGATTATATATAAACCAGTGTCCTGGAATACAAAACAAATAATACATGAGGAAAATATTCTTTTCAGAGGCACAGATTGTGAGGTACACATTAAACTTTTTTAAGATTGATCACAATGCAACAATGCTTCGGGAAAAGATAAAAAATCTGTTTAAAATCTCTACAATAAAACTGAGGTCACTGTTTCATGTATATGATTGAAATTTACCATTCTTAAAAAGTGCCATATCATGCCAACAAAGATGGACACAGTTGGCTAAGGATTTAATCCATACCCTACAAGAGCATAGGCTCAAATCCTGTTGGTCGATGTGAGGATTTTGTTGGTAGGTGATATATAATCCCTCTCGAAAATCCTCAAAGAGGTTAAGGGGTCTCCCTGACCTTAGTGGAATACCGGTTTCTAACTCCATTTAAACTTTTTTGTATTAAAAAAAAAAGTGCCATATCAGAAAGATAACCATTCTAGGAGGCTGCAAAATAACCAACTATCGACCAGCAATTTTGATATTCACGTTCAGCATTCATCAAATGTTTGAAAGATAAGCAGATACTAACACATGTAATATACCATTATGTAGAGAGCTTATGTAGGCTAATCAAATATTATTATGAATTTTTTATATTTAACCGCATTCAATATGGCACTATATGCAAGTAATAATCTCATAATGTATTATATACAAGTAAGCAATATAGAATACAATTTAATATTTGATTTATGGCAGCCCATACATCACCGAAACTCATCTAAACAAATATATGAGGGTTAAGGAAAACGAAAAGTGTGAAGAAATTTACTGTGTCTTGATACTAGTTTCTAGGAAAGTTGTGAAAGACAAATTTTATGTTTATTTAGAAGAATCCAAGGTAATTATTGTCTTATAAACAGTTTCATAGTGCTTCAAAAGAAAAATAAAGAGGTTTGCATGTGAGCTAATTGGTTGAAGAAGGATTGAGAATGAACAAAAATATGAAGTGGAAGAGATTATGCAAATGCAAATCAGTGGTGAAACCTTTTAATATCAGTTGAAGGTTGAAATTCATACCTAAAAGACATAAATTTGGCTGTCCCCAAATTTTAAAACTTCTTAGGATATATTTTTTAATAGAAGTGTCAAAATGTAGAATGTTAGATCAAATTAGTAAACAAATTTAAAAAGTTCTGTTTTTACCTATTGATTCCTTGTGCTGATCTGCCTCGTTGCTTCTCCATCCTCCAGACATGGATTCCTTAAATGATGCAACTGTTATGTGGTTTGTCGCTGGTGCAACTTTATCATAGATATGACTCTGAAAATATGCCATCAGTTGCACAACATTGTCGAATATTTGCTTCCTAAACTTGAATCCTTTTGGGTGGATAGCAATAAACTCATGATGTGGATTTGTACTTTTAATGTAAGACAGGATGAAAGTGCCAGGATGATCATACGAAATGCCAAAGCCATATGGTATCCTGTTTGGATATTCTTCCTTCTCAAGTTTTAATAGTTCATCAACTTCAGCTTTTGAGCCCTTCTTAAATTTTTGGAAATTAATTATAGCTTTCAGATGAATTACCACTGGATTGACATAGTGTTCAATAACCTATTTTCGTAACAGAGGAAATTATTAACTGAAGAAAAGGAGTGAATTTCAGAAGCATCGACAAATATGCACAAACACTACATCACCAAGTATAGTTAAATTCTCAAGATAATTTATCCATGGACCAATATAAAATTAACTAAAAAATATTCCGAAGTCCATCATCTTCTGACACCTACCATCCAACATATATTGAATGCAGGGTTTTAAACTGTAGTAAAGTTTCTGCATTTGCGGACTGATGTAGGCTACTTGCGGCCCATTGAGTCCGCAATGATGGCCTGATGCAATTGCGGCAGCCACCTCAACTGAGATGTTGAGGTCGCATCACATGATTTGGTCTATAATTTAAAACTTTTTTTGAATATATCAGCATTTATTTCTTGTCCAAAAATTATTGAATTTGAAATATATGACCCAAATCATAAATACAAAATCCATAATCTTAATCTTCGTATCATGATTTGTTGCTCTACAGGACATAAACAAACACACATACAAAAGAAGAGAAATCTCAAGTGTGTGAAAAGTTGATATGTTTGAACTCAAACAATGAAGCAACATAAACAACATGGAGCAATTGAAGCCTTCTGAAATGTATCTTAAAATCTGAATGAATTAAGAATGCTGACCTTATCTATGTCCTCAAATATTTCATCCCCTACTTTTAATGTCTTTCCAAGTCGAAGCAAATCATGACTCTTTCTACCTTCAACAATGTCTTTGTGAACAAAAATTCCACAAAAAACTTTAAGAGATAAGGTCAAATAACATAAACCCCTTGAACTTGGGTGAAAAATATATTCCCCAACAGCCTTATCTGCAAGGAACTATTCAATAAAGAACAGATGAAAATAAATCTCCATAATATGGAAACTTTAATGAGCTCAAATATTAAGCAATGAATAAATTCACCTCTTTTGCTTGATCTGCAGTTATATTTTGAAAATGAGGGTGAGAAATACTCCTGGGCGTGAAATATTTATTTCGAAGCTCCTTTTTGTCTGTTGCCTCTAGCTGACTCGGTAAAATGATGTTTCCTTCACAGTAATAAGGATCGAAATCATGGAAACTTGGCTCACAATCATTCTTCAAATCATTTACTTTACAAGTCAGATTTACCCGGCATCTTTTCTTATCAATTAGTTTTATTTTGCATGTGAGCACAACACCTTCATGCAATTTATCTGTTAAAGATATATCTTCAGTTTCATCTGAAAAATCATCCTTAAAAAGTACTCCAGTCATTCCGGTGTCAAGCACACAGAATGCCTGTTGGGGCTGCACATGACGAACTATTGCCTGAACTCTTTTTCCTTCAACTAGCACATCCTCAGTTTGTCCAGTTATCATACAGAACTCCTCATCTTGAGTCGGTTCCTTATAAGGCCTCCTAGGATCTTTAAATCCGTGGAGTAGTTCCATCTTTATGTCAAAAAGAGTCACCCTTCTGTATTCGCCCTTTTCTATTTCCATTCTGTCGGCATATTCATTTAAATCAAAGCGCTCTAGCAGTTTGGGATTATTTTGAATGAAGTCAATTGCATTCACTTGGGTAGCATTACCATCTGGATTTTCCAGAATATAATGTTCATGAACAGCTCTAGCTAATTCCTCAGCAAGATTATATGACTCTGGATGAATTCTTGTACGATCAAGAATATTGCCAATAGTGTCAACAAAATTTGGGTCATTGCAAAAAACCTGGAAAAAGCCAACAGCATTGCAGAAAACCTTATTTGTGTTCAGTCCAAAATTAGCAAAGTCCCTCCTATTTCTCACATCTGTACCTCCAAGTAATTTTCTACGCAAAATACCAGCTTTCTTGGGTCCAAGACCAGACACAAACTGCAAAGGAGCTAAAAGCCAGTCACGTCTAATGGCCAAATTTATGTCTATACCTACTTGGTTTGTTGTATCTGTCATGACCCATTCAATTATCTCCAACTTCTCATCACTTGTTAGGAATTTCTCCTGGGGGTTCAACTTCCAAGATACAATCTCTTTTTTGACTCCACACAGTGTTGCAACCATTGCCAGTGGGTTTAAAAGGAAACGTCCAAGAGCCACAGCTCTCCTGACAATGCCTACAAAATTTCAAGATCAGAGGTATTATAGAATTGTCTAAAACACTTTGAAATATTAGGAAATAAAAGAGAGGATATAGAACAGAATTGAACACAAGAAAAAAGAAAACATATACCATCTTGTCTGGGAAGCTGGCTCATGGAAATTTCTGAATCTTCATAAAGACAAGGCAAGCCTTCGTCCCCAAATACAACTGATGGTAGTCCTTTCATCTCTTGACTGACATCTTGAAAATTGTCCTCCGACATCATAGAAATAATCTGATCGACAGTTGAAAGAACTCATTGAATTATGGTGTGTACTCACAAGGTAACAAACGTGTATTAAATAAGATACAATAGCAGTCACTATATATACCAGCAACCCTCAGATAAATGACAAAGAGCATTAGCATCAGTTATCAGCAAAATAGCTGGCTGCTAGAATGATATTAATAAAACTCCAATAGAAAAGAATATTGATAAACTCTGAGGTGTGATAGCAAAATGCAGACACTATGTCGAAATAAAGGAACTGCAAATCATGAAGGCAGTTAAAACTTTAAAGGAAAAAATCAAGTAAAGTAACCAATCTACACATTCATACTATGTATTATCTTTATTACAAAAAAATGTTTTTAAAATTAATCAAGGTAACTGAAGAGAGTGTGTGTATTTCATGACAACAACGGTGTTTTATATGTGTGTATTAAGTGACTACGTTTGTAATATTGTTTTGGGAGTTCTTTGTTGAACTCCTTACACCACTGTATTTCTTTCAAATTTAGTGCACGAACACAGGGATATTAACCCTGTGCCTTGGATGTAGAAAACTTGTTAATCATAAATTTTTTAACCAAGTAAAATTTGTGAGATGATCTTGTTAATATTCTGTGAATTTATGCCCCGGTAATTTTTATAACAAATGATATCAGAGCTTACAAGGCAAAAGAAAAACTTAGATAGCATCCTGCAGCATTTGCCTCTGCAATGCAACCAAAGACATGCAGAAAAGAAAAATCATAGACCTCCATAGAAAATGTACAGCAACGGAAGCATTCTAGTATTGCTATGACTTGATGTTTCATATGGGCTTAACATAAGTACTGTTTTTTCTCTAACTGAGATGCACGAACATCACTGTAGGATACAATAACAGTCTTGCTCTTCCCATCAAATTTAATCAATCATAGAAGGGGTGCGGCTGGGGAGGGGATAAATAATTTATGGGTTTGTTTTTTCTGATGTTACTATAGATAACTTTATCTAATGTTCATCAAAACGACGTCGTTTTGGGACGGAAATCATGGTATTTTTGTAATTTTAATTTATTTCAGGGTTATAATAGTCTTTATCACTCTAATTTTTTAATTTTTCAACCCCAAAACGACGTCGTTTCGATGAACATTAGATAAAGTTATCTAAAGTAACATCGGAAACTTTTTTCCCATAATTTATTAGGTGAATGTAGATAAATAATTTTATATTATGTATTACATTTTTAACACGTCACTCACATATGTATCTATTAGACTTGAATAATGGATAATGCATAGACTCACCTATCTATTTTAAGAAATTTCATAATATTTATTAGAAGATTTTTAGAAGAACGGAGGCAGTAATGATCAAACTATGGATCACTTGGTCACAAGATTCTCAAACGTCAAACCATGTCATGCAACCAACTCTCCCAAAAAGTTAAGTTATTAGTTGAAGGTAAATGAATGATTTTATATGTTATATTATATTTCTAACCTTATAGAAATATACAGTAAATATACAAATAACTTCGGCCCATCAAGTAAGCCAAGTGAAGTTGAAGATTTAGTTTACCTCATTAATGTCCTCCCTCAACCTTATACAGGATGCATTAGCAGCTCCTAGTACAATAACATGAGGTTGATAAATTGTAAGGAACTTGAGGACACGCTGTTGATCATTTTTCCTACGCTGCTGGTCATTAATATTCTGAGATCGTAGTGTAAGTGACCCGGCATGAATCAAATCAACAATTTCTCCTCTGCAATCCAACATGACAAATGTGGTACCTGGCTTTCCATTTCCCCAGCAACAAGCCACGACTCCCCCCTCTTGTTCAGTAGCACTATCATTGTTTGGATATGGTGAAACAGAGACTCTGTTCCACAACTGCATCCCATACTTCATTAGTAACCAGTTTTTCGCCTTAGCTTTTAATGACAACCGTGCTTCCTTCTCCATAGAAGGCAAAAGGAAATTTGAAATAGCGTCCTGCAGGATTGATGTACGCTGCTCATTCCAAATCCTAACAGATGTTCTTTCACTTTTTTTGAGATAAGCATTATTGCAGGTCATTGCCAACTCATTTATGGCATGATCAGGCAACTTTATTGTAGCTTGAAGAAGCTTCTCTTCTTCAGCCTTTTCAATGAAAAGCCACTGGGAATCCTCAAACTTTGAAAGTGGTTTGTTCTGGAGCCACTTAACACTAGCGAATTCATGAAAGGAATCTATTGACATATCGCCTTCCAATGTAGGGCAAGTTGATACAAGAGCCTTATCCATAAATATGCTGCGGACATATTTTCTGAAAGGTATTTCACTGCTTAACATCACTGCAGCCTGGAAAATAAAATCGAAGATTAGTAACCCTAGACTATCAATAGACTTTGGAGTTAGCAAGACCAATTGATAAAATCAACAGAATACCATGTGCCTAGCGCCTTTAAGTACATCTTCTGAAGTTTGAAATGTTTCACACTTGTATATTGAAGCTATCTCCTCCGGAGATACCTCTGGATCTTCTTCTTTGTCCATTCCCTAGAGAAGAGTCTCTCTCGTCAATTGTCACCCAAAAACAAATGCAGTTATGAAAATAATCAGGCACATGTGAATAAAACCCAAAACTTACAACTTTCTCAAGAGTAACTGAAGAACCAAATTTCTCAGGATTTCCAAATTTGCTTGCAAGTAACCATAGTCCAGCCTTACTGCAATTGGAATAGTATGACTTCATCACAGGCCTTTTATAACCACTATCGAAGGACTCCTCCGCTGGTGGAAAATGCAAATTAAACTTCATATCAATATCATCAATCTCTCTCTCTGTTTCAGCCTTCTTGAGCATATTGGTGATGGAGTGAAAAACCTGCTTATGGAAACTGGATTCTTCAACAAGGAAAGACATTTGGCATTCTTCCTCAAAATGTTTGTTATAGTATCTCAAGAGCATGCTCTTCCGCTTCTGAAGAAGCAGCCACTTTGTATCCAATTTCTTGATTATCCAGAGCATCTACACCGAGAATGATGCTATTCCATCATGTTCTTATATATTAATTTCTTTAATTCACTTAGTTTGCTATTTCAACTATCTACCTTTCTTCCTATGTAACACATCATCCTTATAACTGAGGCAGGGGACCTCTCTTGTTTAATCCATATCATCTAACAATAAAAACAGTAAATTTAAAACTACCTTGTGCCATTTCAACTTAGGTTTTGTCTCAACATCGTTCAATAATGTGTTTTCTGATTCTTCATATTTTGGATCTTCCAGAAGACTAATGCATTGTTCCTTCCGATACATCGCAATAAATGGAATCTATAAAGTAAGGGAAAAAAAACATTAAAAACTAAAAAGGAATTTTGATCATTGTATAACCCAAAAAGGTAATTTAAATCACAAAATTCTTACATCATATTTCTCTGTGTGATGCAGTTCCAAGAACCGTACAATATCTTCCCTTTTTACTGTATCAACTTGTGGACAGGATTTGGCCTCATTGAACGTTGGATTTATGTTGGATGCCAGTTGACTTAATATCCAAGAACTTTCTTCTTCTATACTCATTCTGTCGACTGGAGCAGATCCAACAATGTCCTCCATTATCTGTAAAAGTTTGGAGACAAATTAAATTTAAATAACATTATGATTGACAATTGATATATTATTAATCAACAAAAGCTTTAAAAGCATGACCTGAATCCTCTCAGGTATGTCTGTATCATCTAAGGAGTTACCCCCTCCAGCTAAATACATATTTGTAGGGATGAATGATTCATGATTGTTAGGATCATTAGACTCGGGAGACTGAATTTGAACTTCCCTAATATGCTCTTCGAGCAGACCTGCCTTCCCAGAACTATTTTTAGCTTCTTTTGAATATGAAGAGGAATGTTTTGTGCCCATAAACTTTCTTTGCCTATAAGCAAATTTGACGAAAATCATATATTATAGAGGCAATAACTTATCAGTCATAGGTTATGACATCAGAACAGTGAGCCACTACAAATGCTACCAGCACTTAATTCACAAGCATTCATGTTAGTCATAATATACCTGAGAGAATCTCCCTTCCCACAGACAACAACCCTTTCATCCACTATAAAATCTGCCATGTCATCGTCTGCATCGTTATACTCTTCTTCTTCAACAATATCATCAAATAGTAATCCTGGAAACCAAGGGTTTTAGTCAATTAACAAACAATAGCACACCAAGAAACCTGGATGAATGGATCAGGCAGAATTGTTCCATACAACCAGATGATTATCAGATCACACTGATCCAACTAGTAAGCTATCACAGGACACTTAAATAAGCAAACGAAAAATGGAAAGAAAAATGAAGACAACAAAACCTAAAGCTGATACTAACCAGAATCACCTCCGACATCCGAAGATTGCTCCATCAGCTCAGAGTCTACCCCAGCCTTTTTAAGCCTTTTGAATTTTCCATCTCTCTAGAAAAAATCAGAGTGTAGGAATGCATTATAAATAAATAAAACAGTTTCTCTGGTACTTAGAATATCATAGAAGGATTATATTTCAAGAAACAAAACCTAACCAATTTTTCTATAATGATGCTCTTGTTCTCACGGATTAACTCTAGATCATCATCGTCAAGAGCAATGTCTTTCAACGATCTACTGAAAATGGGTAGCAAAGGTATGGAGTGGTGAGTAAGCCATACAGATATATGAAATTGCATTACATGGTAGGGAAGTATAATAACCTTCTCTTTTTCTTCTTTTGCGTTTGTTTTGGATTTTTTTCTTTTTCTTTCTCATCATCTTCTTCATCTTCGACATCATCAACTATAAACCCATCATTCTCAAATTCATCCAAGCCTTCGTCTGCTTCACCCAGTGAGGAAAAAAAATCACGATTTATTCATGCAAAGGGCATCATCCTCTGTACTCTACTATCTGACCAATGTAGACTTACGAAGGACAAAATTGTGGATAAAAAAAAACGAAGGAAAAACTCAACCAAAAATCTAATATCAACAAATTGAAAAACAATTGAACCATAAATTGCAATTTTTATATACATGAATTTAAAATATTAAAAACAGAAAAAAAAATTTACCAGACACTACTTAATTACTCAAATAAAAAAGTAACACGTGACATCTTATAATCACACTAACCTTCAAACTAAAAATAAAAGAAAAATGTTATTTTTATAAAAAAAAAATTATAAATTCAACTATATATTTTTCAGAATAAATTCGGTTAAAAATGCATTCTAAAAAATACATATTGTAAATATAACCTACTCCATAATAAAACATGGGAAATACATTTGTCATGTTATATGACAAATGAATAGTTGTTATGTTAAGAAAAAAACAAGATAAATTCATTGAATAATGTGTTTTCTCATTTTTTTTAATATTATATAATGTGTCTTTTTCTTTTTCTTTTTGGATTACAAAGGGAAATCAAAAAAAACTACAAGATAACAGAATTGGCCACATACAGGCCCCTACAATCCTCTAACACAAGGTCCCTACATCCAACCGGAGGAGAATTAAACCAGTGAGTATTCCAACTATCATCAACCCTGAGTTTAGCTAACCAGTCAGCAACTTAGTTGCCTTCTCTATGAGTATGAACTATATTCACATGCCAATGCACAGCCATCAGCTCTATAATTTTGTTAACAAGAAAGAAGCATGGATGGGATTTTGCACATCCATTCTTAAACAAATCAATAGCCACCAGGGAGTCACCTTCTAGGATGACATTTCTTAGATTCTGGCTCCAAATTCAATCCAAACCATTCAAAAAGCCCCATAACTCAGCCATAAGAACTATTCCCTGTCCTAGTTTTTTGAAGAAACCTTGCATCCAATTCCCATTAGCATCTCTAAGAATTCCACCACAGGCTAAATTAAAGACATTAGCTCTACAAGATCCATCAACATTAATTTTGAGCCACCCTTCTGGAGGAGCCTTCCACACCACCCAAATTTCTTTCAAAGGTTCCAGTATTAAACATGCCCCCTTGAGAACTTCATTAGCAGTAGCAATGTTCAGGATGTTAAGATAAGTTTGCTTGAAGAAATCCTGAGGAGATAGACTGCTCCTATTAAAAATAAAGTGTTTCTGTCTTTCCAAATATACTAACAGATTACACCAAATTTTAGGTGCCAATTAGAGTTGTGGTTTTTAGGGTTGAGGTTAACCATCAACCAATTATCAAAGGACAATCTAAAAAATTGATCACTGCCCGAACTATTCACCCAGTGATTCCAAACTTCTCTGGTCCAACTGCAGGTTCTAAAGATATGGTCCTTACCCTCTATAGGATTATTGCATCTAGGACAATGAGTTATCTGACATATGTCTCCTGAACCTTTCAGCATTAGTGAGAATCTTGTCATTGTATAAGAGCCACAGGAAAACCTTGACCCTTTGAGGACCCTCTCATCTCCATATTAAGTTCCAGTCAACAGAATCATGACTAATGTAAGGAGAGCATAAAACAGAGTAGGCTGAACTTACAGAGAACAGACCAGAAGAAGAATGCTTCCATATAACTTTGTCTCTGTCATCAGAAGCCTTAGGGGGAGGGATATTTGAAATAGAAGAGATAATGTCTTCAGACAAGAACTGGTTCAACAATCTCCAATTCCATTCACCCTCACCTATTATGCTATCAGCCACTCTCCAATTGGAAACCTCTTCAGGAATTGCCATTTGCACAACATCTAAAAGCCTGTTGATACCAGGGATCCAGCTATCCCTCCAAAAATCTATATTCCTACCATCACCTAACAGAATTCTAGCACCAGCTTGGACATGCTCCCAGACCTTCTGGATACCTTTCCAAGTATTGGAAGCATTCAGGGAGGCAGTGAGGTTAGGGATTAGAGTATCTGAAACCTTATACTTGGCTTTCAAGGTTTTCACCCAAAGGTCCTCAGAGTTGCTGATGAGCCCAAATCCTAGCTTCATGAAGAATGCTCTGTTTATTTTCACCTGATCCCTAAGACCCAGACCTCCTTCCTGCTTAGGCTAACAGACCTTGGACCACTTAACCAGATGAGTTTTCTTCTGGTTGTGAGTGGATCCCCATAAGAAACCTCTAGTAATCTTCTCTACTTCTTTACAGACTCCAGAAGGCAAGTAAACAGTTTGCATAGTATAAGCAGGAAGAGCTTCCAACACAGTTTTAGCTAGAGTAATTCGGCCAGCCAATGAAAGAGAATTTTGATTCCAAGAGGATAGTCTTCTATTAACTCTATCCAGAATGTAACCAAAGGATTTCTTGGAAACTCTCCTATAGTGCATTGGAACCCCCAAATATTTACCCAAGTCAGCTGTAATTCCAAACCCCAAGCAGTCACTAATCTCTTTAGCCTTGTTAAAACACACATTCTTAGAGAAATGGACTCTAGTTTTCTCCTTATTCACCTTCTTCCCAAAAGCCTCAGCAAAAACTTTGAGGACTTGGTTAATCACATGAGCTTGGTCTAGGCTAGCCTCAGCACATATGATAATATCATCAGCAAAGAAAAGATGAGATATGGTAGGGGCACCTCTTTTGAGCAACACAGGTTTCCAAGCTTTCACCTCCACAGCTACTTGAATAAGATGGGTCAATCTCTCCATACAAAGAACAAACAAATAAGGGGATATGGGATTCCCTTGTCTTATCCCTCTCTCTGGAATGATCTCTTTAGTAAATTTATCTTTTTCTTAACATAACAACTATTCATTTGTCATGTAACATGACAAATGCATTTTCCATAAAACATATAAAACTTCCTAAAATAATATTCTTAGAGCATATTAAAAATTCTAATACATCATTGCCGCCAGAAGGGAACAGCTCAAAATCTCGTCAACCAAAAAAAAAAAGAAACACTTTGCCGTTTGCATACAGCGCTGTTAAATCATTTTCGTTTCAACAATTAATATTTGAGCTCAGTGTCTCTCTTTACAAAGAATATAAATTGTGTCCTGTTTAATTTTTTATTCTAATTTTTTATTCTACATACTTCCAGTAATATATAATGTTTTTCTCATATTACATAAGATAGTATTATCTTATATAAAGACATAATTAGATAGATCTCACAATTAAAAGAAAAAAAAAGAAATATTGGCTGATGTGAAAAATATTTCTCATAATTATAACATAAAAAATTAATTTTTTTTATTTTACTTTTCATATCAGCTGATATGACTAATTTTTTATTTTATGTACTCCTAAAAATACATAGTTATAATATAAAAAGTTATTTTTTTCCACTTTTCACATTAGCTTATTTGACGTGATTAAGTGCCTGTTTGGATCCTCTCTTTTTTAAGCTAGAAGCTACTTATAAGCATAAGCTAGGCCAAACAGGTTTTAGAAAAAGCTCTTATAATGAAAAGCTCTTTTTTCTATAATGAAGAAAAAAGCTGAAAATTAAAAGCTCCTAGGAGGAGCTTTTTTTTAAGCTCTTGTCTGTTTTTCTTGAATTGTGTGTTTTTTTTTAAATGAAGAGTGATAAAGATAGAGAGAGAGATAATTTTCTTGAAATATGTGCTTTTAAGTAAATTTTAAGCTAAAATTTTCATGTAATTTCCAAACAGCTTTTAGCTTCTTTTTTTAAGCTCTTTTTTTTAGCTTTAGCTTATAAGTAGCTTCTAGCTTAAAAATAAGAGGATCCAAACAGGCTCTAAGTAGAGAAAAAAAATTAATTTTTCATGTTATAACTATAACTATTTATTATGTAAAAAAATTAAAAGGACACAATTTACATCATTCTAAAGCACAAAGTTTTACCTTAATATTTTCCAGTTTTATTTTGTCAAGAAAAATAAAATATTTTTTAAAAATCAATTTAGCAGCTTCCTAAAATTACTTTTACATATATATATATATATATATATATATATATATATATATATATATATATATATCATCCTTACTTTTTATTTTTATATTTAAAATATTATAGACTTTTCAATCACTCACTTAATTTTGCCTACAGCAACAGTGCAGTTTACTGGCAGGCTTGGTTCCAAGGAAATCTGGGGTTGTTTCATTCTCCCAGAAATTCTAATAATTTGAGGCATTAAAGTAGACATCCCTGGCTTTGATTTACTGGTGCTCCTCATTGTTTCAATTTACGAGGATTATCAATTCTTTTTGTCTACGTTTGGAATAACGTACGGTGCGTTACACTTTATGGGATCTATATTTACAACTTTTTTCTGATAGTTTCTTAGAATAAAATCAGATCAATGAAATGATAACAAATGATAATCCGGGATTTGATTTTATCCAATAATAATAAAATTGATTTGAGAAATTGCAACCGAAAAGAGATTCGAAATATAAGCGTCTTTTTCACCTTTTTACCTTTTTGCTTCTTGTTAATTAATTAATAATTATTTTGTCCCTGATTCGAAACTATTTATCAATCTGCCCCTCTTTAATCAACTACCTTGCATTTTTAATCGACTAAATGGCAGACAAAAAATGGCTGTTGGGAGATTTAGTCGACTAAATCTCCATATTTGACAACAACAAAAATAAGTCAGTATGATTTTAATCGATTAAGTAGGGAGATTTAGTCGATTAAATCTCCCAACAACCATTTAGACATTCAAAGTAGTCGATTAAAGAGGGGCAGATTGATAGATAGTTTCGAATCAGGGACAAAATAGTTATTAATTAATTAATGAGGGGCAAAAAAGTGAAAAAGCCAAATATAAGCTATTTAAAAATGGATTTTATTAATCTTCATCAATAAGAGAGAAGATATCTCCTATCACATAATTATAAAATGAGAATAACATTTATCATGTTAAAGGATATAAAAAGATATAAACTTATATCCTTTCAAAGGATAGATATTTTTCCCAAAATAAGAATAAAAAGATTAAAAAAACAAAGGACAAGAATCGATTTCTTATCTGGAAAATAAACCTATCTTCTGTTGCTGATGATTAATTTTTCTCTTTAAAAATATCACAAAAAGAAACTTCAAACAATAATATTTTAACATTGTCAACAATAATATCAAAGAAAGAAAAAGAAAAAAAAAAGGTTTTCGCAACCGATCATGAATATTGCAGCAGTTGTTTATAACATTGCTAGAGAGAGAAAGAGAGGAATAACGAAGAGAGCAGTGAATGAAGCTGATTGAGTTTGAGTTCATGGCGTTACCGTCTTCTTCATCGTCGTCTTCGGCGGTGACAACATCTTTCCTTTTTCCTTTCTTTTGGATTTTCTCTGCACAATGGAAAACAGAAATTACAGAAATCAGAACCGTGAAAAAAAAAAAAACGATTGTAATGAGGTTGACGAGAGTTGTGTAATGTTTCTGTTCACCTTGATCTTCCTCTTCTTTTTCTTCTTCTTCTTCAATGAGAAGATGTTTTCTTCTTGCGCTCATCGTTGTGTGAGAAACGAGAAACCCTATCCTCTGACAAAGAGTTTCAGAAGCTACAATGAAATGCAATGCAATAATAGTAGTGAACTTGAAAACGCTGCTTCTGAAATTGGAGAGAGTGTGTGTGAGTGTGTCACGATCGTTATTCTATTTTCGCTTAACGTACGGGAGCGCCATTCTGATGTATATACGATCTTGCCCTTGGCGTTTCGACTGATTTACGAGTATACCACGAGGGCAATGTTTTATTGGATCTGCCGTTGGGATTGCGCCACGTAGCAGATGAAGTTACGTGGTGTGATCTGGAAGTATTTGGAGTGGGAAAGATGTGGAGGATAAGGAGAGTCATTTAGTAGAAATAAATGGGTTTTAATGTCATTGTCTAGTGGCAATCTGCATGTAAAAGCAGAGAGATAGTTATCATGCTGTCAACGTGCAATTTATGGAAAAACAACAAAAACTAATGGAAATGAATCATCTCATTTGTAATTTAACATGATCATGTTGTCGGAAGATCTTAACCATTAATAATGAAATCAACAGGTGATGATGGCGTAACTTTATATTTTTATATTTTTTCTCTCTTCACTATCATCACCGTTAACTAATTAATTAATACTATTTTGTTGAGGACGAATCCTTTCTTCGAAGGGAAATTTTTTTTTTTAAAATAATTTATTCTTTCCGAAAATGGAAACCTCTTTTCAGATAAGGATTTCAAAAGCTGCAATGCAATACAATGCAAGAGGCGTGAACTTTTTTTTTTTTTTTTGCAATGCAATAAAATGCAAGAGGCGTGAACTTGAAAATGCATAACGGTGCTTCTCTCGGGGAAAGAGAGTGTGTTTCACAGACTCACAATAGCGATTCTACTTTCAGTTATGGTACTAACGCGATTCTGATGTACGAGGATGCCCTTGGCGTTTCGATTGATTTACGGAAATAGCAATAGGGGCAATGTTTTATTGGTTAGGCCGTTGCGATTGCGCCACGTCAGAGGTGGAGTTATATGGTGTGATCTTGAAGTGATTGAAATGGGAAATATGTGAGGGAGGAGAGTCATTTGGTTGGAAAAATTGGTGTTTAATGTCATTTCGCACTTTTCAAGCTGTTTGATTATCTTTTGTTCAGGACGAAGCCTTTCCTTGAAGAGAAATGATTTTTACAAAATCCTTTTTATACTTCTCATACACTTTTCTAATTTAAAAAAGAGAGATAGAGAGAGAGACGTACAACAAAAATAAAAAAGAAAGAGAGATGTTATATTTAGCAAGTGCATACCTTGTTTTATTAATTTTTTTAAAAGTGTTGTTAGAAAATAGTGTACAAATAACATTGTTGATTATGAGTTTACCAAAAAAAATACATTGTTGATTTTGATAGAAGTGTTTAATTAGGCGTGGTTCATATAAGATATGATATGAGTCTTGAAAAAAAGAATTACTGTTTTTCTTTTTGTCATAATTGTATTTCTGTCATTCTGTTTGTACCTATATTTTAGTCCACTATTCTAGGACATGTGTCCCATAAAAAAAACTTCCTTTACTGAAAATAAAATAAAATAAAAAAGGAAATGAGGTGATGAGCCTCATGTACGCAAGGGGTGTCAATATAGGTTTTGACATGCGCGTCGACCCGCGACACAACACCTAAATTCGTGTTTGAGTTGACCCGTAAAAAAATTCGTGTCGTGTTCGTGTTGATGTATTCGTGTTCGTGTCAACCCGTATTTTTTTAAAATTATTTTTTTTAATTTTTTTATTATTATTTTTTTAATTTTTTGTAATATTGATCCATTTTTTAAATTTTTTTTGTCAATTACCATTTTGACCCCTATTTTGCGTGTTATTCGTGTCGTGTCGTGTCAACCCGCAAAAAATTCGTGTCGTGTCAGTGTTGAAGATTTTGACACGAATAAAAATTTGTGTCGTGTTAGTGTTGATGTATTCGTGACGTGTCGAATCGTTTTGACACCCCTACATATACGTGACATGATTGACCTTCCTATGTCCTACCCTTAACTTTCTTTTTCTTAGCAGAACTTGGTTTCCAAAACTAAGGGGGGGTTATGGCCAGATTTTACTTGGCTTGAACTTGTAGGATATTTTGATTTGGGGAGAGCTACCACTTTTTCTTATTATTTTTTATTATTAAATTTTAACTATTAATTTTCGTCAATTTAACGATTATAATTTATTGAAAATTAATAATCAATTAATAAGTATAAAAGCCTCTTTGAGCACGTGTCCGAATTCACGAACGCGTATGAGTTGTGGACGAAGCTAGAGTCCATGATTCAGAAAAAGACTCCCAGGAACAAAGCACATCTGGTTCGCCGACTTGTTAAGCTTGAATACAAGGACAGCATGAGCATGATTGAACACCTGAACACCTACAAAGGTATTGTGAATCAGCTGTCAAAGGCTGATATGAAAATTGATGAAGAATTGCAGGCATTGCTGCTGTTGAGCTCGTTGCCAGAAAGCTGGGATACTCTGGTGGTGACCCTGAATAACTCGACTCTAGATGGAAAATTGAAGATGGATGTCGTGACAGACAGCCTCCTGGGCGAAGAATCCAGGAGAAGAGAACGAGGTACTTCGAGTACGTCTGAGGCCAATGTTGCTGAGAACAAAGGGAAATCCGACTCCCGCGGTAGAAGCAAAAGCCGAGGTAGAGGTCGTGACAGACGAGACAAGTCCAGAGGTCGGTCAAAGCCGAAATATGAGTTGAAGTGCTTTTACTGTGGAAAGACAGGCCATAAGAAGCCAGACTGCTAGACCCTACAGAATGATGAGAAGAACGGCTCTGTGAAGCCGGATCAGATTATTCCCAAGAAGAAGGAAGACAAGAGCACCACTGCGGTGGCTGCAAACCCTGATGCCGATATATTCCTCCTAGGTGAGGATAATTATTTGAATGTTGCATATGATGACTGCACCTGGATTGTTGACTCTGGTGCCTCCTTCCACGTTACTCCACACAAAGGTTTTTTCTCCTCTTATCGAGGTGGTGATTTTGGAGTCCTGAAGATGGGAAATCAGGTGACCAGCAAGATTGTTGGTGTCAGTGATGTGACCCTGACCACAGATGTCGGATGTCGACTTGTGTTGAAAGATGTAAGGCATGTTCCTGACATGCATTTGAACCTAATCTCGGTAGGCAAACTTGATGATGCCGGGTTAGTGAACTACTTCGGTAGTGTGAGATGGAAGCTGGCCAAGGGAAACTTGGTCGTGGCCCGAGGTAAGAAGGAAGGCTCCTTTTACGTGATGCAAGGAAAGATCAATGGCGGAGAAGCCAATTCTGTTCGAGATGAACCTAGCTTGGAGCTATGGCACAAGCGCCTCGGCCACATAAGCGAGAAAGGGCTACAGATCCTGAACAAGAAAGGATTACTGACCGGGTTGAAAGGCCAAGCGTTGGAGAGTTGCACGCATTGTCTAGCTGGAAAGCAGCACCGGGTTTCTTTTGTGAGACCGGATCAACCAAGACGACGCAGGTATATTCTTGACCTCGTCTATACTGATGTCTGCTCCATGTCCGAAAGATCCCTTGGAGCAGCTCAGTACTTTGTTTCATTTATTGATGACCATTCCCGCAAAGTGTGGGTATATTTGTTGAAGTCTAAAGACCAGGTACTCCAATCCTTTAAAGAATTCCATGCTATGGTTGAAAGGGAGACTGGCAAGAAATTGAAGGTGATCCGATCTGATAATGGTGGTGAGTATTGCGGCCCATTTGATGCATACTGCAGAGCGGCCAGAATTCGACTTGAGAAGATGCCCCCCAAGACACCTCAGCTGAATGGACTGGCTGAGCGGATGAACAAAACTATTAAAGAGAAGGTCCGAAGCATGTTATCCAATGCCGGATTGCCGAAATCATTTTGGGGAGAAGCCGTCAAAACAGCTATTGACTTGATCAACCTCTCACCATCACGGCCACTTGAAGGAGAAATTCCAGAAGAAGTCTGGACAGGTCGGAAAGCGGCCTATAATCAATTGAAAGTGTTTGGATGCCGAGCTTTCATGCATATCCCTAAAGATGAAAGGGCTAAACTTGATGCAAAGACCAAAGAATGCATTTATCTTGGTTTGCCGAGATGTGAGTTCGGGTTCCGACTTTGGGATCCAATCAATAAGAAGATCGTGAGAAGCCGAGATGTGATCTTCCATGAGCATGAGAACATTCATGACATCTCGAAGCCCAAAGTCTGGGTTACTGTCAGACGTGAAGAACCCATCCCTCCTGTCCGAGCTGAAGCAGGGGGAGAAAATGAAGAAAATGATGATCAGCAACAAGCTGAAGATGACCAAGACATTGAGGTCCGAGTTGATGATGAAATTCGGGATGAGAATGATGAACCGGGTTCTCAAGCTGAAGAACAGCCGAGATATCCAACTCGAGAAAGAAGACCCTCTACAAGGTACCCATCTGATGAATACACCGTTATAGCTGAAGACGATGAGCCTCAAAGTTATGATGAGGCTGTGACGAGCTCAAAGAAAGAAGAATGGGAAAAGGCAATGCAAGACGAGATGAAGTCTCTGCATGAAAATCAGACTTATGAGCTGACTGTGTTGCCAGAAGGAAGACGAGCTTTGAAAAACAAACGGGTCTACAAGATTAAGAATGAAGAGAACGGGCAAAAGCAGAGATACAAAGCCCGGATTGTAGTGAAAGGCTGTAATCAGAAGAAAGGAGTTGATTTTGAGGAGATTTTTTCTCCTGTGGTGAAAATGACCTCGGTCCGAACCGTGTTAGCCATGGCGGCTTCAATGGACCTCGAGGTAGAACAAATGGACGTGAAGACGGCATTCCTTCACGGTGATTTAGAAGAAGAAATATATATGGAGCAACCTGAAGGATTCCAAGCTCCAGACCAACAAGACTTGATATGTCGGTTGAAGAAGAGCCTCTATGGCTTGAAGCAAGCACCTCGGCAGTGGTACAAGAAATTTGAATCATTCATGATTGATCATAAGTTTGAGAAGACTGAA